TTTAGGTAGGGATGATTTTAAGAAAATTTTAATTGACACACAGCTTCCAATATTTGGCTTTTAATTTGGTTTTATGGGGTTTTTTTGTTTTTTGATGTATTTTGTTTGTATCTGTTTTAATATGCTGTGCACCGCCCTGAGTCCTACGGGAGAAGGGCGGTATATAAATTAAATTATTAAATTAAATTAAATTAAATTATTAAATAATAATGAGTAAATATCATGTTCAACCATTTTTACCGAAGCTTAGATCAGCGGTTCTCAACCTGTGGGTCGTGACCCCATTTGGGGTCGATCGACCATTTCACGGGGGTCGCCAAGCAAGGCTGTCCGCCATTTTTTTCTCCTTTTCCGGCGGGTGCCTTACCTCCCTTGAGCTGGGCCAGCTGGTGGTCAGCCTGCTCCGTCTCTGCCGCTTGCCAGCTACACCTCGGCTGGCGCAGGGGGCGGAACCACGCATGTGCGGCGCTCCCGGGCAGGGAAAGTCCTCGACTTACGACTGGTTGGGTAGTCCTTGACTTACGACCGGTTTAGTCCTCGACTTACAACCGGTTTAGTCCTCGACTTACGACCGGTTGGGGATCGCGGCATTAAAAAGGTTGAGAACCACTGGCTTAGACTATATAACATATTAAAAACAGTTAGTAAACAAATACGTTGATCTATTAAGTAAACACTACTAATAAAATCTCAAAAAATCCTAACAATCAAAAGTAACAAATGAAAATCAGTAAATCAAAAAAAAATAATCATATCATCGAAGTATTAGTTAGAACTCGGTTAAGAATCAGTCATCTATTCTAAAATATTGAATCCTTCAAATTCTAACGTGTCTCTAACCATTGATAAAAAATTTCCCAAGTTCTAAAATAAATTGAATCAACTTTTTCTTTCATTTCTAATGTTAGTCTATCCATTTCTGCACTCTCTAAAATTTTAGTAATTATAGTCTGGTCAGATGGTGAGTTCTCATTTTTCCAGTATTGGGCAAATGCTATCCTTGCAGCTGTTAAAACATGCAATATCAAATAGTCATTCTCTTTACCATAATTAGGTCTTAATATTCCTAACAAAAACAATTCCGGTTTAAATTCTATCTGTATTTTCATCATCTTTTCCAACCATCTATGGATCTTAGACCAAAATTTCTTAGCAATAGGGCATACCCAGCAGGCATGGTAATAAGTGCCTGGCTGTTGTTTACATTTCCAGCAAATATCCGAAACCTTTTTAAACATTTTCGCTAAGCGCACTGGTGTCATATGCCATCTATAAAACATATAAGTTTTCTTTATATGCTACCGCTTTTGTAAGCTTAATAAGAGAGAGCTGTTTCTTGAAGCTGTTGGGGTGTCTTGTCTAGAGAACTCTGTGGCTCCTCTTTTACCACTGTGTTGTGTTGGACTCCAGGTGTGTATTTGCTTGAGGGAGAGGGGAGGGGGGTTATGCTGCCCATTCCCAAAGTTTTATTGGTTAATAAAATTCTGATACAATATTGGAGAGAGGAAGCAAAGGGATTGGAAATACCTTCTTTATAAGGGAAGACTAAAAGGATGTTATGATTTTGAGTTGGATTTCTGATTTTCAGACAAAATGACAGGGCAGTCCAAATTTCTCAACCTAGTGGCTTCAGGGGAACTGAATGAGGAAGTGATGCTTCTCCATCAATGTACAGGAGCTCTGTCAGCAGAGGTGGAGGCATGTTCTAGCTGGGAGCTTTGCATATACCTGATGAAAGCATTATGGGCATGAACTGACTGGAAAAGCCCCATTCTGTGGCATTTACAAAAGGAACAGGAAGATGCCTTTTATAGGCAAAGCTGTTTTTCCCCCCACAGAGGCCCCAGGATCAAGCGGCTTTGTCAGTATAGAGCTGACACAGCTAGTTCTTCCCACTGGCTTTATTAGATAATAGCATTTCAAAAAAAATAAGGATTCGTGAAAGAGGTAAATTTCTAATAAATCTGCCCTCTCCTATCTTTTGCTGTAGCTGGGAAGAGGTTGACAGTAAAAGGGCATCCACCGATTGTTGCTTCTCAGTTACATTATGTTTGATTAAATTATGATTGATGTTCCTGGGAGGATGGGAAGGAAGTTTACCAAATTATGAGGGAGGGGGAGGAATAGGATGAGGAAAAACAATGGGATTTTCTGGGGAACTCTGTTTTTCTTAAAGTGAACAGAAATCAATTCAGAAAGGATAAAAAGAAACTCCCAAGAGAATTACTTCACAGAGTATGCAGCCAGTGGAATTAATTGCTATCCAGTTCTCTTGCTCATGTCACTTTAAGAAGGATTGGCTTATGATCAATGTTTATTACAAGCTCTTTAATCAGAAGTATGACAAAGAAGGGCAATCTTGGCCTACCCTTGCAATAACAAATGTACTCTACTGTATTGTTGTGATAGGAACTCATTTTTTCCATCCTGATTGTTTAAAGTGTTTTAGGTATGTTTGTGTGGGGACTGTATGCAAGGACAGAGTTAGGTGTGTTTCCACCAGTCATTTGTGGTTAATATAGAGTAAACATTTTGTGCTGTATCTGTGCTTGGTTTTAAGTTCGGTGCTCTGAAGGTGATTTGGTAAAACCTAGATGAGGACAATGCTGCATTATTGTGAGGCCAGGCTTTGACATACAACAACAAGCACAAAGGAATGACCAACATTTGCAGTCATGGACTTTTCTTCCAATGCCTAAGTTCTCTAAATAATTACTCTCAACTTCAATTGAAATTTTCTTAATATATTTAATTCTACATCTTGGGCACTGTACGAAATTATGTGGATTAAGACTCACATTTGCATGAATATTAAGATAAAAAAATTCATCTAGGAAAGCACATGCAGTACTCCCTATCATATGCAACATCTGAAACAAGATTCAGATGAATGCTTGTTAACCATTTTTTTTTTAGTTTAGGACATCATTCAGACACAGCCCGAGACTGACTTCTTTCTGTGTCTCTTTCTGTGTGTCTGTATCTGTGTGTCTGTGTCTGTGTCTGTCTGTCTGTCTGTCTGTCTGTCTCTCTCTCTCTCTCTCTCTCTCTGTGTGTGTGTGTGTGTATGTGTGTGTGTGTGTGTGTTAAGACTATACATGGTTTGAAGAACTGCTTTGGAATTTTCTGACTTTTTTCAGGCTTTCACTGCTGAATCAGACCAAGGATTTATCTTTGATATCCTATTTCTCATAATGCATTACAAGAAAATGATGGAGAGATTACTAGAAGACAGGAAAATTTCATGCACGTTAATTATAATTGATAGTTGTTGACAGCTTAATTTTCCAGGAATATGCCCTGTTGCAGCCATCTAACTTGCTTGTTGTGAATTCTGTGATCTTGCATGACAAGGAGCTTTCATTTTGTCTGAATCTTCCACTACTTAGCTTGATACTGGATCCTGTATCTATTTCTCTATTGACCATAATTCTCAGGATAACTTTTCAATGCATTACACATGCACACCCTTCATTATAAGGGTGTGCATTTGTAATGTATTGAAAAGTTAAATAATGTATTTAAAAACCTTGAAAAAAATGAAGTAAAATTAAGTAAAAAAGTGAAAAACCTTCTTTTTAAGATTTATGCATTTGACAAGCCATTTTTTTTTATATCACTCCCCAAAGTACAGGACATTCTATTAAGAGTCGCTTATTGCTTAACAATTTATTTCCTGCTATGAATCATAACCAAAATGCAGAATTCTGTTTAGAGGAACACCTTGAGCTTTCTGAGAAACACTGTACTCTTAAGAATGACCATGGGATCCTGGTTCTTCAAGGAGCGTGGATTTCTTCCTCAAGGCGTGGGAAAGCTTAATTCTTACCTGTTCCAGAAAACAGTTGCCGAGTATACACCATTTGAAGAGTAAAAGGTAGGGGTTCATGGGAACAAAGAATGCCTAAGAGAAAGATTCAGGTTATGAGTAACAATTTTTCAAGGGAAGGGCCTCTGAAAGGGTTTAAAGTTACAGAATAACAGAATAATAGATTTGGAAGGCACCTTGGAGGTCTTCTAGTCCAACCCCTTGTTCAAGCAAGAAAACCTATACCATGTCAGAAATGTTGTCCAATTTTTTCTTTAAAAATCTCCAGTGTTAGAATACTACAACTTCTGGAGGCAAGCTGTTCCACTGATTAATTGTTCTAACTATTAGGAAATTTCTCCTTAATTCTGGATTGGATCTTTCCTTGATTAGTTTCCATCCATTGCTTCTTGTCCTGCCTTCAGGTGCTTTGGGGAATAGGTTGACCCCATCTTCTTTGTGGCAGCCCCTGAGACATTGAAACAGTGTAACCCCTAGTCCTTCTTTTTATTAAACTAGACCTACCCAAGTTGATCCTTCATAATCCCGATAGGATTCAATTGTTTTCAGTTCTAGGTCCCAGTTGCTAAAAAATAATATATATATGTTTCAACTTTTTCATTGCTCCTGGCTTATTCTTGTTTAAAAAATCTTGCTCTTGGAGAGACTCTAAGCTCTTGTTGGGATATTTCATCTCTTGTTTGAATTTTATGAAAGAACTTTGGCCTGGCTTCTAAACCTGCTGGGAATTACTGCCTTTCTTTATTACAATATATTGACCTGCTTGTTCAAGAGACAAATGACATCTTGGCTTTGGTAGTTGGATGACATTTTCTGCTAACTTTATTTCCTTTCCAAGGTCTACATTGTCTTCTATTCCATTTCCACAGCCCACCATTTCTTCAGGTTTTATCCTATGATCTATAAACAATATGGTTGACTTGCTTTACAACAAACTTTAAGACATTTCTCATGAATGTTTCAAGATCAGAAACCACCATTGGCTACAATATCTATTTGAATCTGCTTTTGGTTTCAGAAATGATTGGTTGCTATGAATCATGACCTCCTCCCACCCTCCAGCAAAACTTGCAAGTACAATTTATGTGTGCAAATTCAGAGAACTGTGAAATCATAACATCATAGCCTGATGGCATGCAGTTGAGTATAGGACTGGCTGGAGCATCAAAAGCATAGGTAGGGAAAGGCAAGAGTTCCCACTGAGAAAGCAGCCCATGGTAATAAACAACCAAGTGACCTAGATAAGTTTTATAGAGCTTTGGGGCATGACCTCAAGTCCCCTACCCATAGCTCAAGCAATACCCGATAACTGTTTTGTCAGACGTGTTCTCACAACAAAGCTTTCATCTTCAGGGGTCATTGAAGAAGCAACTTGCATTCATCTTTTGCTGTTCTGGTGTTCAAATTGAGATGTTTTCCCTCTATTCCTCACACAAGCCTTGTCGCCTAAATGACTCACTGACAAAGTGGTCAATGATGCAGTTTGGGGCTAGGTTCTGCTCAGTTCCTTGAGATAAAATAAGTCTTTATTGAAGGCTAGCAGTTTAGTTATTATTGTGCGTATCCAGAGAAGGCAGGAAGTGATAATGTGAGGTATATGAAATTAGAAAGCTATTATAGGAACAAAGAAGTTGCTGTTATGACTTGCTTTGTAGCTAGATTTGGCATTAGACCCAAGGAATGTGCAAATAGGCATGGGACTGTGCAAATAGGCATGCCAAATTATGATACCTGCTGAAAACTGATAACTTTGAGCAATGGCTTCAACTTTTCCAGCTCTGAGGACCAGTAGTGACGGCAGCGGGTGGGGGGAGAGAATGGTTTCACACAAGCACCTGCCACTTGTGCAAATGGAGCTTCACGTGTTCTCCCACTGCTTGCGCAGCCTGGTTCCCAGTGGGCACCGGACCTGTACCAGTCCACAAACCAGGGTTAGGAACCCCTGACTTGGAGGACCTTCTGATATGCACAGCCATTTTCCCTAAAAACCCATCCCAGGGGCCAGCTAACATCCTTTCTGGAAACATTCATTCATTCAAATTGGCCGTTTCTTAACTCTGTTAGCAATGCTTCTTCTAAAAAACATCATTTGTTCTGGGAAGAAATATTAAATCTGGAAATTTAAGACGTTAGTCCTATGTATACTCACAAGTATAAATTTTGTTTGCCTCTGGTTATGTTCTTGGTTTCTTTTCCTTTTGCCTTCAGAAGTTGTGAATGCTCCAACACTGGAAATTTTTAAAAAGAGATTGGACAACCATTTGTATGAATTGGTATAGGGTTTCCTGCCTAAGCAGGGGGTTGGACTAGAAGACCTCCAAGGTCTCTTCCAACTCTGTTATTCTATTCTATTCTAAGCTTTTTATTCTCTTTACTTCTGTTATTTGTTTTTTTTATACCTTACAATAAAGGTAGTAATAATATTCTTGGTGTTGGCTTCCTGGTCTGGATTATGTGAAATTTTGACAACACTCAGAGTTGTTTTTTTCTGTTTTAAGAAATACTATACAGTTTTGATATGTGCACAGACTTACTGGAGAGTCAAGGTTGCGATGGAAACTATGCACCAACATTTTAGCACACCGTGTTTTTCCCTATATCATTATTTAGCTTTCTGTGTCTGGGCCTTATGGAACTTCCACATTTGCTCAAATGTTGAGGCACAAAGGTCAAGAAACTTAATTTGCTGATTCATGAAGACATTACTCATGCAACTGATTCAGAATATTTATTCATTTAAAGAGAAAGCATACAGATTCCAGTCTGAATCCACAGACATTATCCATGGTACAGCACTGTGAGTATTGTTAATTATATATTTTCAAGAGCTGTGTTTGTATTTCAGCAGCATTTCAAACAGTACAAATCAGTGGTGTTTCGCCTTTTGATTAGCATTAAGACGACATAATTCTGCATATTTTCGTAGCTGAATCTTAACAAGCCCACTTCTATTAACCAAATTATCATTATAAAAATATTAAATGTCCACTTCATTTCTGATACTACAACTTGTCCATTCTAGGTAGCTCAAATATCCTATCATAATCAATGAGGTATAAATAGTGATAGGTGAGAGATATGTATGACTGTTGTTCTTTAAAGAGCCTTCCTACAGAGATTGTAAGATTAGCCTACTATACTGAATCAGAATTTATTGTAAGTGGACAACTGGTCTATTGCAAACTTAATTTCAGGCTTACATATAGCTCGATAAGGGTTTTCAGACCAGGCTGAAAAAGAAAATTAGATACTAGATCTCTGTTGCAGAGAAACCTAAAACCATATTATTAAGGTATTCTCATTCAAAGTCTGTATTTGTCAACCCCGTAATATAGATCAGGCCAAGAAACAAATTCCATGGAAGTATGAAGCTGTTTTTATTAAGATGGACTATTGCAACAGAATCTTACAAGTTTGATTATGCTTGACTCCCCCCCCTTTTTTTTATAGCCATATGAATCAGGGCATTGTCTATGAGAGAGATGGGAGTTAAGAAGTTTGATATGTAAATAAATAAATAACATTGGAAATACTGAGGATACTTTTGAAAAACGGAATCAGAAGTTAATAACCACAATGTCAACAGTGATATTGGCTTCTATAAATAGACTGTGTCCAAAAGATGTTTTGGAAAAAATGACAGAAAAGAAACAAGTTTTATCTGTTAAATCAGAGACAGAATTGTCATAGAAAGTGGATCTAAAAATGGCTGGCAGCAAGAATAACATGGAAAAAAATGTTTCATTGGACATGCAAAAGAAACCAGTTGATGCTTTAAAAATTGAAAGGGGATTACAAATAATAAACAAGAGAGTGACCTAGAGAATTGTTTTGTATTGAACATACAAAAAAGGTTTGCTGAACCTTGGATAAATCTTGTGAGAAGGGGTAAAAAAGAAATGAAAAAGTCAAGTTCTATGGCATCACTTGAATGAATGAATGAAAGGATTAAGACTGTTAGAAATAAAAGGAAGGAATATGACATTTGTTTATCTGATCAAGGTTAAAATAATTTGTTATTTCTGGCAACCTTAAAGAATTTGTTGACATCAGTACTGAATTGACAATGCTTTGTAAATTTGTTTATAGATAAGAGATGAGACATGGGATGAAGAGATCTTTGGTTGCAAATTAAGAAGTGAAAAGTCACTAAAATTGTTTATATTTGTGATGAATGTTGAAAGTCACATATATATGTATTTCTTTTTTTCTTCATTGTACTCTTACTTTTCTTTCTTTTTTCTTTTTTCAACATTTCTTTCTTCTCCTTTGCACTTTCTTTCTTTTAGTTTGCATTAGCTTTTATTACTGCAATTATAGTCGTCAATAACAATATTATATTTTATTATTACATTCTGCAAGAATATTAACATCATCAACATCAACATCTGCTTATCCCAGATCCTTGGGAAGGGCTAGATAGGTGAATAAAAATGCCAAATCCAGTCTGAACATGCCACAAACCATAATAACAAATGTGCAGTTTCTAGCTGAGGTTTCCAACAACTCCAAATAACCCAAAGACTTATGTGGGTCAGATGGAACGACTATGATAGTGAAGAAAGAGTTTCTAACTAAACTAACTAAATGTAGTGACTGATAATTGTGAGTTCATATCTGTTTAAAGCTCATGATCGACCAAGAGTATCTGATAGATCCTCTTTTGACTCCAGATCAGCTTCTGGTGACTTTGTGGTCTAATTCTATTTAGGTTTTTTAGACCAATCAAAAAGGTGCTGCCCCATATTAGAGCAAGTCAGGGGGCTGACTGGACCAAAAAGCAGAATAGCTCCAAACTTCTATATGAGGGACACCCTGCCCATTGGTTGCATCAAATGAAGGTTGCTGCCCAACTAGCTGAAAAAAAATCCCATATTGAGGCAGGAGTAAGGTTTTTCAGAGGCAGCCCAGTTGACATTTTTTGCAAACGCTTCCTTTAACAACAGACCCTTGCTGAGTCATTTGAATTTTATGATGTGGTGTTTTTCCATCACTTTCTGGACTGATCTATGTTAATGCACAAAAGTTACTCTAGTTCCTTTTTGTCTGCAGGGATACTTACCCAGTCAATACAGTCTCAGTGCAAGATAAGAAGAACTAAAAGCAGAAACCAGAAGCATACCATGAAGTTCATGTTCTGAGAAAAGCAGTAATGCAACAAATTGGACAAAGTGAATGAAACCTTTTTTACCCCTTTCCCTCTTCCTCAAAGACTCTAAAGCTGTTTAATATCCCTTGCTTTATTGGAAGTTCTGTCATGTTTTGCTAGTAAAAAAACATTAATCAAAATTTCAATTTTCAAAAAGCTGCAGCTGCACCATCATCTATGAGTTGTCCAAATAGCCTTCTTTTCCTAGTCTTTGCCAAAGGCTGCTGCTCTCATCAGGGCATCTTATACCTGCCACTCAATTGGCCAAGATTTTCTTTGGCCACCTGGTCTATGTCAATGTTAAAGACAGATTGTTTTGGTATACAGCTTGTACCAGAATCATACAGATTTAAAAATGAACAATGTTCTACCAAGATCTAAACTTTGTTAACTTCTTAAATTTAGATTCAACTTTAGTAATCCCAATTAGATCTAGTAATAATAGTAATACAATAAAAAAATTAAATTCCTCCATTGGACATGCATTGTACACATATTCAATGTATATATATTCCAACCATTGGACTAGATCAGGGCTTTTCAACCTTTTCACCCATTGTACCACTTTTAGCATATGGCAACATCCGATTACCACCAGTCGCCTAGCAAGGTGTCAAAAACTTGATGACCAAAAAAAAAAATGAAAAAAGTGATAAAGTACAGGTAGTCCTCGACTTACAACAGTTCGCTTAGTGACTGTTCGAAGTTACAATGGCACTGAAAAAAGTGCCCCCCCACGCCACAGCCGAGCAAGACGCCTGCCCGCCCAGTGGCACTCTTCCTCCTGTCCGAGGTTTTCATTGTTGTGAGCATTTCTGTTGAGGATTGGCAGCGGGGGTGGGTTGGGGGGTGTTTGGTTTTTATTCCCCCCGTCTTGATGGGTGGTTGCAGCAGGTTTTGGTCAATTCACATGACCCTGGGACACTGCGACTGTCATAAATATGAATCAGTTGCCAAGCATCTGAGTGTAAATCACAAGACCCTGGAGATGCTGCAACATTCCAGCTGATTGGCGCTTCTTCTGGGCTCAGCAGAAGCACCAGGATCAGTGCCAAGCTGCAGCTGGAGCCTGGCAGCCCAGAAGAAGCGCTGATCCTGGCGCTTCCGCTGAGCCCTGACAGCCCTGCAGTTCCAGCCATCTCTCACTCAGGCTTGTGCGGTGCTGCCATTGGTTCATTCCCCTCCCCCGCTACCACTTTTCTAGGATGGTCGTGTACCACCTGCCAGGTGCCGATGTACCACAGGTGGTACCCGTACCACTGGTTGAAAAGCCCTGGACTAGATGACCTTCAAGGTCCTTTCCCATTGTATCATTCTGTGTTGGTCAGGACTCTTAGGGGCAACATCTGGCAAGGGGAAGACCAGCCTAGCATTATCCATTAACCAGTAGATGAGGAACTACACCACATGATTGTCCTCTTCTTCCCACCCCAGTCCATTTCTTTACATTGTGTCTCTTAGTGCTTGCCTCAGCACTTCTCTTTTCTTACACCTTACAGTTTTAAGTGCAGCATTTACATTAGCAAACCATAACTATTACATATTGCGTCCTTGGTGTCCACTTTTCCTACTTCTGTTATATCCAGTCCTTCTGTTGCAGTTGCATATCTATTGAAAAGTAAGGCCACTTAAATTCCCGAGGGCATAGCATTCTTCCCCTGAAAGGAGATTCTTCAAGATCTTTTACATTCAAGAGAGCCCAATACGGATAGTTCTTGACTTACAACCACAACCGAGCCCAAAATTTATGTGGCTACGTGAGACATTTGTTAAGTGAGCTTTGCCCCATTTTACGACTTTTCTTGCCACCGCTGTTAAGTGAATCACTGCAGTTGTTAAGTTAGTAGCCCGGTTGTGAAGGGAATCTGGCTTCCCCACTGACTTTGTTTGTCAGTTGTTTGCAAAAGGGGATCACATGGCCCCGGGAGACACTGCAACGGTCATAAATATGAACCAGTTGCCAAGCATCCAAATTTTGATCATGACCGTGGGGATGCTGCAACGGTCGTAAGTGTGAAAAATGGTCATAAGTCCCTCTTTTCGGTGCCATTGCAATTTTGAAGAGTCGTTAAATGAAATGTTTTAAGTCAAGCATTCCCTTGCATGCTAAGAAAAGTGGTAAATAATCCTGGGTTCAGTCTCTTGTCTCTGGCGAACAGAAAAGGCAAAGAAATGCCCTGAATGTTTTCTCTTTTTCATGCAGATGCCCTCAGCATGACTGAACTGGCCTGAACTGTTTGTGCCTTGAGAAATCCTGGAAGGGTTCCTTGGAGCAGGACGCTATCCTTTTACTGCAAGCTTTACTGAATCACTGAAGCTATTCAGTAAGCCACTGTCGAGGCAAACCAATAAAACGCACAGCAGATCTTTAGGAAAAGCTAGGTTAACTAAGATCATCTACCTACCAAATGCAAAGGTATTATTGCAGCTCTTTTGGTAATTACAGTGTTTTGTTTCCTGTTATTGTTATGCTAAGATATAACAATTACAGAAAATAAAACACCAAACTGGCGTTCAGCAACATTCTTTATGTTGCTAAGAATGGCAACATAAATTAACTTTATATATAAAATTAATGTGTGCCAGTTTGGTGTAACAGTTAAAGATGCTGAATATAGAAGCTGGGACACTGTAGGTTCTAGACCTGCCTTCAACACAAAAGTCCTGGTGATTTGGGACCAGACATTCTCTGTGTAGCTCTAAAAAGAAGGTGTTGGCAAGCCACTTCTGAAAGCAGTTCAGTACAATAAAAGATTGTGTAAGTTAAAACAGGAATGGGTCAGAGAAAGATAATTCAGAAATCGGGGCCAGCATCTGACTGTAATTTACTAATGCTTCATCCAGTGGCAATCTAGTTATTGCAGTTATTAAAGGCTCACAAGTCCTGCCAGAATAAAGGTAGCTAGCTATACTTATATGTGTCCATGATGTCAGTGTACACGTGGACAAAGAACAAAGGTGTTGGTGATGATCATGAGAGAAGTAAAAGCGGTTTGTTACAAATAAAACCAATAACTGGGACAGAAGTCACACCATTAGAAACTGAAAACATAGAATTGTAAATTGTAAGAATTAGGTGGTAAATGTATATTTTTTGTTATTGTCAGTGTGATTGCTGTTGCGGTTATTGCTGTTGTGATTGTGGAGCAATTTGTGGGTGTTAAATACTGTGAAATAATCATGAGGGGTGGATTCTAATTCTAATATTACTGAAGACAACACACTAGAGCAGCCTGGGAAATAAAGCTAAAAATTTGTTTGTGGGATTTAAAGGTAGATGACAATCATGAAGCAGTAATGGATATTGCAAAAGGAATCAGGAATGTGGCTGAAGCTCCTGAAAAAAAGTATGAAAATATATGGAGCAATTGGGGTTGGTTAACTAATTGCTTTCCCAACACTGAATGGTTAAGACAAATGTTTCTTGGCCTATTTTTTTTAGTGGTTATAGGACTTAGGTGTTGTGCATGTCTGCAATGTATTTCTTCATGTGCATCTACTTTAACCAAAACTGTAGGAAAAGCTTTTAGGAAGGAAGAGAAGAAATTATACAGTTAACGGTTATAAGATTTTCTAAGCATGATAATGAAGACCTTTCAGAGTAATAAAAATTAAAAGGGGGGATTTGATAGAAGTAAAGGAAAGGTCTTCAAAAATTTAATATTGAAAGAGAAATTTAAAATTGAATTTGCTGCAGTGGAAATTTACTGAGTGGAGAAGCAACTATAATGCATGGGAATCAGGAAAGGATAACATAAAGGCAGGATGTAAGATAAATACGTAGGCAAAAATTAGCTGGGTCTTAGAGTGGGAAAACAGGAAAACAAGCTGAATAAGATAAGAGGAAAGGCATACTGAATTGAAAAACAGGAAAGAACCTATTGTTCTAAAAGGGGGACATAAATATCCATAGAGCTCAAAACAACTACTTAAATGTCTAATTTTTCTTATTATTATTGTATATGTGAATATGATTTAATATGTTAGCAGGAAATGTGTAAGAAGCGGACAGAAAGAGTGTAACCTCATAGTACCTCAGCCAATGGGGAAAGAGGAGGGATGTGGCGGCAGGGATAGGGATGAATAAAAGAAGGAGATATTTTGGGTTAAAACTTTGGAGAGAACCAAGCTTTGATAGCTTCTCTCCCCACTTATTGCAATAAACGAAACAAAAGGCCTTCACTGTGTCTTGGCTGGTTATTGGTCAGGCGAGCTTGCCTCTGGTCACGAAGGAAAGTAGCCAGGAGCACATAACAGCAGCTTGAGGCATATATTGCTGATCACATTATTTTGGCACCTGACATAGAAAAAAATCACAAAAGTATCTCTTTAAATACCAAAGACTAAAAGTGTCCCTATAATAAAACAAAACAAGATAAATTGCAATTCTGTTATGATGCTCGAGCAGTGCTGCTGAGGCAATGCTTCTCAATGCCAAACATTATGTGTAAGAGAAAATTATACAATTTTTTTGTCGTTTTGTACACACTTCTCCTTTTACATTATTGTGAAATCCAGGAGTAACCAAAAAGAGATCACTGTTAAGGTTTCCTTTCTTTCCACTCTGTCACTGAACTCTAGGGCATGTGGTGACTTCTCCTCAGCTTTTATCGTTTGTGAAGATCTTGCACTGCTTCTGATCTGAAGATAAGTCTTGACAGAAGAAACTTTTAAATGGGATCACAAGATTCAGGTAGATTACATGAAATTGTACTCATTTTTTCAGTGATAAAAATTATATCGTCTGTTCCTGTTGTGATTTTTTAAATTCATATTCATTTCTTCCATAGGCACTTATTTGATTTATGTTTTTATTTAGAAGAAGGAAAATATAAATGAGTGCACCATTAGAATGGTTTCTAAAAAAAACAGTTTACATTTTTCATGCTTCATCTAGTTTTCTCTTCTTTCAGTTGATTTATACCAAGTAGCTTTACAGGTTGCAGTCTTTATACAGTTGCTGTGAATAAGCCTCATTTAATTCAATGGAACTTAATTCTGGGTAGATGTGCTGCATATAGGATTTACTTTATTGAGATCACTCAACTCTGCAAAGCCCATTTTTTTTAATGTAATTCGGTTGCTTTTAAATGTCTGCCTATTACCCAGCTGTTAAAATCATCAAAGCATTCTAAGAAAATGAACAAACATGAAATGTAACAATAAAATTGGGAAAGAATTTCTGCCTAACACGTAACAGAGATTTATAAAGGTCCCATAACGTTGAACCATGGTATAATTATGCATTTTTCAATAGTGTAACCACATGAGTTGCAGAAACAGAGTTTAAGTTCTTTGGAGGTGATTACATTCTGAAATCTGTGATCCTGAGGACATTCTATGTTTTTAATCAGCAGTGGTGTGTGCTGGCCAATACCACTTGGTTTGGATATTACCAATGTTGATTTAAAAAGGATACTTACAGAAGAGAAGAGGCAACCACAATGTCTCAAAGCTGATTATTTCTTCCCTTTTCTTGGATTCCATTCCAGTGTGTTTCCTTTGTTTCTTAACAGAAGAAAAGAGGACCACACACTCAAAACTTCCTTTGCTGAATTACAGGCTGGAGGAGATAGATTGTCTCCTTTTCCTTCTGCCAAAACTCCGTGCCTTTCATACAAGTCCAATGCTTCACTCTGGAAAGATGGGAAGTTGCACCACTTGAACTGTTGTTTAAGAGTCACAGTTCAGTTAAACCAATGTAGCACCTCCAAACGTTGCAGCACCATGACTAAGTTTACCCATCTTCTTAGGACATACTCGGTTAATGCAACAGTTTAACGTGATGTATATTTTCATGCTCAAACCAGCAGATGGCAGTAGAAGGACTTCTCTTTTTAATCTTTGAAGTTCCAAGCTAAGGAACCAAACTGAACCATTAAGTGTTGCTCAGAACTTCTCGCCCTAACAGTGATTTCAACCCAAAAACAATTTATATCCAACAATTTCACTGAAAAACTTAGTGGTGATCTCAGATAAGTATGAGGATAAGTCTGTGCTCATACAATAGATCTCATAGCCACAAGATTGAGCTGCAGTCAACTAGCTCTCATCACCCCCTGAAAAGAGGACTAAAGGCTCTGGTTCCAATCCATCAAAGGGAGGGAGGGGGTCTTTCCTCACTTACCCAGCCTGAAGGGACTCCAAGTCTTGTCAGAACAATATAAAGACTATATGGCGTAGCACTGTCTTACTCCAACTTTCTCCAGTCTTCTCTGGTTTGTTTTGTGGGACAGAAGGAAGAGGTTCTGCAAACTGTAGTCTGGAGTCAAGGCCAAGGCCACTGTCAAGGACTAGACTAGAGGATAATACTTGTGTTACCAAGCCATTTTTGGTATGCTGTAGACAAGGCTATCAAAGTTATAGCATGACCCTGTCTGGTGAAGCAAGATTATATTTGATTAGCACTTGGGATAGTTAAAAATCCAGATTGAAACACTGAAACAATGTCTTTGAAAAAGGCAGTGGCAAACCCCTTGTCTATTGTCTATTATGCCAAGAAAACATGCATGGATCTATAAATACAATTCTGTAGAGCAGAGGTGGGGAACCATGGCCCTTTTATGACCTGTGGACTTCAATTCCCAGAAACTTTGAGCCATGCTGGCTCAAAAAGTCTGGGAATTGAAGTCCACAGGTCATAAAAGGGCCATAGTTCCCCACCACTGCTCTAGACCAGGAGAGGGCCCGCAACCTGGGCGTCCTCCTGGATGCTCGGCTGTCTTTAGATGATCATGTGACGGCCGTGGCCAGGGGGGCTTTTCATCAGGTTCGCCTGATACGCCAGTTGCGCCCCTTTCTGGATCGTGACACTCTACGCACGGTCACTCAAGCCCTCGTTTCCCGCCTGGACTATTGCAACGCTCTCTACATGGGGCTCCCCTTGAGGTGCACCTGGAGGCTTCAGCTAGTTCAGAATGCGGCCGCATGGGGGATTTTGGGGGCCTCTAGATACTCCCATGTAACACCTCTCCTGCGCGAGCTGCACTGGCTGCCTGTGGCCTTCCGGGTGCGCTTCAAGGTGTTAGTAACAACCTTTAAAGCGCTCCGTGGCAATGGACCTAGGTATTTGCAAGACCGCCTCCTACCAAATACCTCCCTTCGACCAGTCCGCTCCCACAGAGAGGGCCTCCTTAGGGTGCCGTCGGCTAGTCAATGCCGGCTGGCGACCCCCAGGGGGAGAGCCTTCTCTGTGGCAGCTCCTGCCCTCTGGAATGACCTACCCCCCGACCTACGTACAACTGCGGACCTGCGCCTCTTTCGCCGAGCCTTGAAAACCCATCTATTCCATGCGGCCGGCCTGGCGTAGTTTTGATTATGTTTTGGTAGGGGTTTTTATAGGGGGTATTTTAGAGCAGGCTTTTTATTTAATATTTATTGTGATTTTTATTATCGCCTGTTCACCGCCCTGAGTCCCGTAAGGGAGATAGGGCGGTATATAAATTTAAATAATAAATAAATAAATAGATAGATAGATAGATAGATAGATAGATAGATAGATAGATAGATAGATAGATAGACAGACAGACAGACAGACAGACAGACAGACAGACAGACAGACAGACAGACAGACAGACAGACAGACAGACAGACCAGAACATGGTTGTCCAATCTGGGCTGCATACAAAATATATAGTATAGTTAATGAACATAACACCATATAATAACCTTAAAGGTTTGCGATCTGGTAGAGCTGCATTACTAGTTGTCCAGGGTCTCATGTGGCTCATTAGCCATGGATTGGACACATCTGATCTAGAGCAACCCGAATGTAACTTAATTTACCTCCCATCAAGCAGATCTGCCTTTCTTCTCCCAGAACCAAACCTGTTTAGAATAATCCAGCACCCAAGCATATAATTCTACCACTGATATGATTAATAAGAAGCAGCCCAAGTTCATACTATTTATTCTAGATTGATAGTCTGCCTTTCCTCAGGGGTTTGAGGACATATACATTACATTCACTCCATCTATTTTCTCCACAGCAACGTTGAGAGGGAGGTTGGGTTGACTAAGAAAAATTGACTCAGGGTCCCCCAATGAGTTTCTGCAGCTGAAGTTGGACTTGAATCCAGTCCTAGACCAGTACCTTAACCACAGCACTAACAATTACAGATATTGAAGCCCCACCAAATGCGAAACGCAACAGATGAGTCTTTTTTTAAATGCGAAACGCAACAGATGAGTCTTTAGGGAAGCGCACAACTCATGTTCCGTAAGATGCTGAATCTCACCAAAATTGAAACCTTTCCAGCACATATTTTAAGGGTGGCATGATAGTTGGTTTTCGATGCAAATAATACCAGCCGATCAGTGCTCTTTCTTTCTGCTCCAAAGCAATTAATCATTCAAGGTACTATGCACACAACTTCCAAACTTTGTGAATTAACCATCTCCTTCACAAGAGAGAAAGAATTAAGTCTTAATTGTTCCTATCCATTCACCTTTATTTGTGTGTGCTGCAAGCCAGTTTGCAAAATATTCCTCCCATTCATCCGGGATATGTGTGTGTGTGTGTGTGTGTGTGTGTGTGTGTTCGCGCACGCGTGAGTGCATGTATGTGCATGCATGCAGAAAGAAAGCCTGGTTCTTAAAAACCACCAGTCTTTGAAGGGAGAAGCCTGGAAAAGCGCCTTATCACCACAATACCAGATCAGTGTAGCAAATGTAGAACAGCAAATGCCAGGAAGAACTTTGTACAGAGAGAGCATAAAGTGATATACTTGGCTGTGCTCCAACATGTAGGTGGGAGCTGGACAAAAATAACTGTTCTTGTTTTGAAATTGTTTTATCTGCTATACTGCACCTATCTTGGTTTAATTATTCATTATGTTGCTTAACAGTTCGTGGGTAAGAGTCTCATTTTTAATTGAATTCACTTTGAGCTTTGTGCTGAAACTGGAAGATGCGTTATAAAACCTGTTTAATAAAGGAAATCTGGCACTAAGAATATGTATGCATTTATCTCTTGGTCACACTACCTGGCTTTATTTTTATTTGATAGATTATGCCAGCACAGAGCTATACTAAACTAAGTATTCACACCTTGTGCTTCATAAGTATTGTACATAAGAGCCCATATTTTCATGTACATTGCTATTTATTTTTGGCATCAGATGGTTTTCTTTAGGTCAATGAAAACATATGTGTTTTTAATCTCCAAAGTACAGTATACATGTTTTTAATCTCTAAAAGTTATGTGACAAAAGTATCCTTAAATCTGAGGAACAGTATAATGAACAGATGGGATGCCGGAAAGTACATTCTATCATTTTTAGAATTTGAAAAAAAAATTATATGCCCAACATTTTCATAAGAATAATTTGCTTCTATCTGCAAATTAATAAATAACATTTCTTTATCTGACTTGTTTGCCAATACATTATTTTTTTTCCCTTTGAAACACAGAAGATCTCATATAGTTATTTTAATATGCGTTTTGACATATTAAACATTTATAAGCAATGGAACGCACTTTAGGCAGGACAACCACCTTTTGGGACAATCAACACAGGTGCTTTACATCCATCCCTTCCTGGTCAGAATATTTTCAGATCTTACAGTAAACTGCTAATGCCTATCCCTAACTGAATACGCAAACATGACTTCACTGGTTAGGAGGGATCAGCGTAGACTTACCAAGCAGGTTTTTCCAGACTGTGAGACTCATCAAAAAGACATTTTGCTTATAAATGAGGCAGTAGTAAAGTTATTTGGACTGTGCATGAACTAAGTGGGAAGAGATATGGAGGAACAGGGTAAGGTATGGATATTCTTTCTTTAATATGCTTAGAACTGATGTAAAGATGTATATACATTTGTGAGCGTACTTCATCTTTTTTTCTCAAGACATTGAGAAAATATTTCTCATTTTCCTGGAAGCAATTCTATAGCTGCCTATGGGCATACTTTTTACAATGCAATTAGTTTCATTTTTCAAGTTCTACAGAGAATAGGAAAAGAGATTTGATGTACCTTTGTTCAAAAATTCAATTTCTTCCATCACTGGCTTCCGCTGTTGAGATTTTAAATACTTGCAAAATATTGATATTGCGTTTTGCATCAAAAATGTCCCCATAGATTGCCTATGGAAGAGCTGAAAACTGGGGAGGGAAGGAATGTTCACACTACAAGAAAATGCTAAGCGCTGTTAGTGTAGCAGAAAATGTAGTGATATTGCTTCAGTCATTACAGTACAGGATACTTTCTAGAGTTCTATTCATTTTTATTGACCTCTCTCCTTGCTTTTGAACTTTCCTAGGGAACAAAATTCGAAGGAAAACTCAGTATGGCGCTACGGATTCACCAAAGCTACAGGAGGACCAAGAGGACCAGGATCAAACCTACTTGGATGAGAGGATCGCGATTCCAGATGTTGGTGGGGTAAGCCTTTGGCTACGAGTTTGCGCATTGATTGTTGTCCTGGTGTTTTACGCTTGACCAAAAAGCCCTTTTGGAACCATCAGCTTCACCGCATAATTGGCCTCACACAGCATGTTAATGAACTACATTATAACTTGAGCATGATAATTTAAACCCAGCCATTCTGCCAAACTGACTGTAACCAACTCCTTTTTTGATTATTATAAAGTAAGATCCTGCACTCAGGCAGAAAAAGATAGGTATACATGTACAATATATAGGCAATAGCTGGCTCAACAGTAGTGCCTGTGAGAGAGATCTAGGCATCCTGGTGGACCACCACTTAAGGCTGAGCCTGCAGTGTGCTTCAGCTGCTGAAAGAGCCAACACAGAGGGAAAGTATTAAGAATCAAGGAAAGTGATAGTAGTGCTCTATACCAAGAGGTGGACCATCTCTTAAGGATGAACTTGCAGTGTGCTTCAGCTGCCGAAAGAGCCAACACAATTTGTGCTACATCAACAGAGGGAAAGTATCAAGGACCAAGGTAAGTGATAGTAGTGCTCTATACCACACTGGGGAGGCAACATTTGGAACACTGCATCCAGTTCTGATCAACATAATACTCAAAAGAAGCTGGGGCCCTGGGAAAAAAATGCGGAGAAGAGCAACAAAGGTGATACAGAGTCTGGATGCTAAATCCTATGAAGAACAGCTAATGGAACAAGGTATATTTAGCTTAACAAAGAGAAAAAACAAGAGGAGACATAATAATAGTCTTCCCAACCTTGAAGGGCTATCACAGGGAAGAGGATGTTGATTTATTCTCCATAGGGCCTGAGGGTAGGACAAGAAGCAAGGGGTGGAAGCTTATCGGAAGGAAATCCAATCTGGAAATATAGAAGAATTTCCTGACAGTGAGAAGTACAGGTAGTCCTTGACTTATGGACAAATTTGGAACCAGAATTTCCATTGCTAAGCAAGCCGGTTCTTAAGTGAGTCACACCTTATTTCATGACCTTTTTTTTACCAGGGTTGTTAAGCAAATCACTGCAGTTGTTAAGTGAATCACACATTTGTTAAGTGAATCTAGCTTCCCCTGTTGATCTTTCTTGTTGGAAGCCAGCTGGGAATGATGATCACGTGACCCTGAGATTCTGCAATCATCGTAAAGACATACCAATTGCCAAGCGCCCAAATTTTGATCACGGACGCCGCAAAGAGTTATAAGTGTGAGAACTGGTAATAAGTCACTTTTTCCACTGACATTGTAACTTCGAATGGCTGCTAAACATCTAGATGTAAATCAAAGACTACGTGTATTAAACCAGAGGTCCCCAACCTTTTGGGCACCAGGGACCGGTTCTGTGGAGAAAGGTTTTTCCACAGACCGGACAGTGCGTGGTTTTGTGTGCTGCCTCCATCCCACAGATGGGGCTTTGCTTGTTTGTGTGGACCATTTGCTGGCATGCCGGGCCCGGTACCAGACCACAGACCGGGGGTTGGGGACCCCTGTATTAAAAATGGAACAGCTTGCCTCCCAGAGTTTTGGGTGCTTCGTTGCCAGAGGTTTTCAAGAGAAGATTGGACAACCATTTGTCTGAGATGGTTTGAGGACTCCTGCCTTTGGCAAGGGGTTGGAGTAGAAGACCTCTGAGGTTTCTTCTAATCGTACGATTCTATGGCATGGCAAATCCCTTCTGTACTATTGTTAAGAAAACCCCATGGATATGTGCACAGTCCCCTGGAATGGAGCTTAACTGAAACTGATTTATTTTTTTACATAGAATTAACATAATATCTGTGTTCTGAGGAGCCAGGAAAACGTAGGCTGTGTTTCAAACACAGGGAAATAGGAAAGTTTTCAGAAATAATAGGTGATGTAAACAGACCATAGCCTAGAGAGGGCCCAAGGCGATTTTCACTTCAAGGATTGAACCAATCCAAGATCAAGGCTGTGTCCCTGAGTTGTTGGTCTTTGCAAGTGGAGCCAATCGATTTTTGGCTTGGATGCTGCTTCAGAAAAAAATGCTGCAAAGATAGTTTGCAGGGCAGACAGCTGCTCCCTGGAGGGAATGGATTCCTGCCTCACCTCTTCTATCAATTTCTGAGTCCCCCACCCCCTTGCTTTTGCTGTCACTATGGAAGCATCTGGTTGGCAGGACCCATGCAATTTCCTTTCCCGCCAGCTGGTCAGTAGGAGATGTTGACACTTCATGGGCCATGCTGTTGTGGCCAAGAGCATGTAGAGCAGTGGTTCTCAACCTGTGGGTCGGGACCCCATTTGGGGTCAATCGACCATTTCACGGGGGTCGCCAAGCAAGGCTGTCCGCCATTTTTTTTGTCCGCCATTTTTTTGTCCGCCATTTTTCCCCCCTTTTCCGGTGGGTGCCTTACCTCCCTTGGGCTGGGCCAGCTGGTGGTCAGCCTGCTCCGTCTCTGCCGCTTGCCAGCTACGCCTCGGCCGGCGCAGGGGGTGGAACCACGCATGCGCGGCGCTCCGGGCAGGGAAAGTCCTCGACTTACGACCGGTTGGGTAGTCCTCGACTTACGACCGGTTTAGTCCTTGACTTACGACCGGTTGGGGTCACGGCATTAAAAAGGTTGAGAACCACTGATGTAGAGCATCCAAACCACCCTTGGCCCCCCAAAAAGGCTAGGAGCAATTTAGCAACAGGATACATGCTACAGACAGACAGACGGATATGTACGTACGTGTGCACACGCACACACACAAGTAGCATTGATCTGCATTAGAGAAAGAGGAGCAAATTCTTTCATTGGGATCAAAGTGGTAGTCTTATGTCAGGTTTTTCTAAGGGATACTCTTGTTGGTTGATAAGAAGAGTGATCATGTAGGCCTGATTCAGCAGAATGAGCTATCCAAGTATGATAATGTTACTATGACTTTTCTTCTCCAGCTCTTTAGTTAAATTTTCCATATCTTTTTTTCTTCAGTACGGTTTCAGTTTCAGAAAGCTTTGGGCTTTCACTGGGCCAGGATTCCTCATGAGTATTGCCTACCTGGATCCAGGAAATATTGAATCAGACTTACAATGTGGTGCTGTTGCTGGCTTCCAAGTGAGTATGTAGTTTACAATGCCTTCTCTGTACGTACTGTACTTTGAAATTCATTCAAACACACAGTGTTAGTCAGCTTTGTCAATTATTGAAGACTGGAAATAGAATGCCTGCATACTTCTAGTTCTCATTGCTCAGCCTCTACATAGATTCACAGGGACTTTACAAGTTGTCCCCATTCATTCTAACTGACCCTCCGTGCTGTATTTATTTGTTTATCATATTTGTACAGCTGCCCATCTCAATAAAAGTTGCTCTGGGTGGACCAATATGGACAGGTGTTTCTGAGATTCTCTCCCAATATGCTAAAGCTATGTAAAAATTGTGAGTCTCAGTCCTGTTTAATTATTGTTGCATTGATACAGAAACTCTTATGTGCTCTGTGACCATGTGCCTTTGCTCCCTACACAGCTGCTCTGGGTCCTGCTTTGGAGCACAATTTTGGGTCTGCTCTGCCAAAGGCTGGCTATCCGGCTTGGGGTAGTAACAGGCAAGGACTTAGGAGAGATATGTTATCACTACTATCCCAAGGTGAGTATGAAGGTGTAGCAGATAATCACTTGCATCTCTAGGGCAAGCATTGGTTCCAAATTCTGCTTTATTCAGTGGCTGCAGTGGTGCAGTGTTAGTTGCAAATGGAACTAAATTGACCTTCATCTGTCTGTCTTTCTCTGCCTTTGCTCATGGCACCTAGCCAGAATGTAGTTTGATTGTTGTATGAACCAAACAATTGTGGTTTATAGTCACTGAAGCAGTAGGCGTGAGATTAAATGAACTCCAGAAGATGGTAGAGGACAGGAAGGCCTGGAGGAACGTTGTCCATAGGGTCGCGATGAGTCGGACACGACTTTGCAACTAACAACAACAACAACAATAAACCATGGATAAACAAAGCATGATTTGATTTCATGTGTTTACCAGACTAAGCCACCATTGTTTCTGATCATGGTTTATTGCTTGTTTTATGCAAAATGTTAATATATAAATCATAGTTTACAAACAACAGCATTTTTAATTTATTTAATTTATATATTGCCTTTCTATTTGAAACCATGCTCATATAAATACATATTCTAAAGATGATACACATTTTTTTTTTAAAAAAAATGGCAATAAAATCATTTGCTGTTAATCTTGTAAAGATGTTGGCCCTTTTCTAAAAGCAGAGCAAGTGGGATTCAAATGCAACTTCCAAGGAAGTGACCGTCATAGCTGGGAATGATGCAAAAAAAAAAAAATCTGCCCTATTTGAAAATAGGAGCATTTTTGGGAGGGTGTTTCCTACAGATGATATTGAGAGTTGGTCCCTCGGGTAATCGGGCCATAAAGGTTTAAGGCTTCAGAATTAATGCCCTGTGCTTAGGAAATAACTGACAATCCCTCAGATCATTATTTATTGGCACCTTGTGATCTCTGGGTCCTTGTTTTGTTTCGTTGTTGTTGGGTTTTCTATCAGCCTATCTGGGGTTTTTTGCACTAATTGCCAGTTCAGACATTTTTACTTTTTTTCCAAAGAATACTATAATTGTTAAGAAGGGAAGTGACTAAGTTCTGGACAACTGAGTTACTTGGGCATGATTACAGACGACAAAATGATCCTATGACTCTTCCTTTATTGCTGCAATAGTGTGGATTCCTCCAGGCCTTGGGTTAGCCAAGAAGGAGGCCAGCCTCATTGGCACTGCTCCCACAGCTTAACTGTTCTGTGCTTCATTAAGAAGGCCAATGAATAGAACTGTTCTTTTCAGCTTTAACATGGATTCCTTTGGCTGGTATTTCCCCTCCAACAGCATCAGCAGCCAGAAGAAAAACAACCACATTCTCTTTAATGGGCAGTGGGTAGTTGGAGTGGATTTGGGTCACCCCTCGTGATGATTTTGCACCTTTAAATTGGCCCAAGTAACAGATTGCCTGCATGGAGATGCTCAACACCCAACAAGTCTCTTAGGCCAGGGCTTTTCAACCTTTTCACCCATTGTACCACTTTTAGGATATGGCAATATCCGAGTACCAACAGTCGCCTAGCAAAGTGTCAGAAATTTGATGACCCCCCCCCAAAAAGGAAAAAAGTGATGAAGTACAGGTAGTCCTCGACTTCCAACAGTTCGCTTAGTGACTGTTCGAAGTTACAATGGCACTGAAAAAAGTGCCCCCCAAGCCACAGCCGAGCAAGACACCTGCCTGCCCGCCCGGTGGCGCTCTTCCTCCTGTCCGAGGTTTTCATTGTTGTGAGCAATGGGGGTGGGGGGGTGTTTGGTTTTTATTCCCCCTGTCTGCTGGGTGGTTGCAGCAGGTTTTGGTCACTTCACATGACCCTGGGACACTGCGACTGTCATAAATATGAATCAGTTGCCAAGCATCTGAATGTAAATCACAAAACCCTGGAGATGCTGCAACATTCCAGCTGATCGGTGCTTCTTCTGGACTCAGCACAAGCGCCAGGATCAGCACCGAGCTCCAGCTGGAGCCTGGCACTGATCCTGGCGCTTCCGCTGAGCCCTGACAGCCCTGCAGCTCCAGCCTCCCCCACTACCACTTTTCTAGGATGGTTGCGTACCACCTGCCAGGTGCCAATGTACCACAGGTGGTACCCGTACCACTGGTTGAAAAGCCCTGTCTTAGGCTATTTCTGAGCATGTATCTAGTGATCTTTTGGAAGTATGTTAAACATGTATCTAAGTATAGTATGGCATTTTCTCTGATTTCAGGGTAGGATGGGAGTTTTTAGCCCTTGGGAGGATTCCCACTCACATGCCCACTCACATACCTACTCTTAACACACGACATATACAAGCAAAGGAAAATTCAAGAGCAAAACTAAGAAAAACTTTACAAAAACACATTTTAATAAAAACAATCTATAAACTCGAACAGTATATGTGAATTTATTTTGAAAGAGCAATTCAATTTTCCATATTTTTCACATAGATGTGAAATGGTTGGTGTTGGCTGGTACCAATTGTATAGTAAAGGTTATAGAACCAAAATAAAGGACAAAAGTCAGCTTTTGAAAAATAAATCAAAAGGACAGCTTTGTGAAACAAAGGACTGTCCTTTATAATACATATGGTCAGTGCAACTATATCCCATCCCTAGATTAGTGTCATGTGTGAATGATGACCAGTTAAGTTCCTATGTGTTAGAGCCAAAATTAGGAAGAGGCATTGAGACATCTTAGTGCATCAGCTTTTCTTTTGTATCTTCTAACAGCCCAACTCTTGTCCTTTCCGCTATAGGTCCCACGTGTGCTACTCTGGATTATGATCGAAATTGCTATAATTGGTTCCGATATGCAGGAAGTGATTGGAACGGCAATTGCATTCAACCTCCTTTCCGCTGGACGGTAAGATCCCTGATATTCTATGGCCACAAGACAAAGCAATGGGCCCGTTTCAGAGACAAAGTGCTGTGAATGCTGTGGAACTACCCAACGCTGGACTGTACCATTGGGTCTCTACAGATTCCTAGAATCAGGAAAGATTGGAGTCATATAAGGTGAAACCAATGCTGTCATTTCTCTGTTCTTTGCACGTCAGGCACAATTCCTCCCCATTTTAAATATCCTCCTGCAAAAATGGTTGGGGTGAGGAATTGCCAATGCATGACACTGAAACTTTTGTCATATATTGCCTAATCATGTATTTCAGACTGGCCAAGATACAATTACACAAGCAAAGAATAGTGTACTTCGAAGTTGCAGGATATAGAACAGCCTTCTACAATTTGATGGCCATCGGAGGTTAATGTAAAGTATTGCAAGGGATAATTTGGGTGTGGAGGGGGAAGAACTATAACCCAGTAGCACAGCACAGTCCCAGGTTTTATCCCCTCTAGATAGTATTGGAAAGATTCCCACCTAAAACTTGAAGAGTTTCTAACAATCATTGTAGATCTCTGATTGCACTCCCAATTTCTCAAAAGCAAATGGAGTCTGATTTGCACTTCACTTTCACCTATCTTGAGATGTTATGGCCTCCTGGTCTCTAAAGCAAAGGTCAAGAGAGAAAGAAATTGGTACTGAGTGCTGAGAGGAAAATGGGAAATGCTATGGAAAAACAGGCAGTTGGTAAGGTCTGGAGAACTGCAACATTTTCAAGTAAAAAAATAACCCAGTTTCGTTCCAAATGCAGATAAGCGTATCTGAGCCAGCAGTGCATTGACACAATTCTTAGATACAGCTGATGACATAACATAGTATAGATTCAGTGCTGATTATAAACCAGTAAAAAGTCCCATGTGGAAAGACAAAGCTGAAACTCTGACTTGGCTTAGCAGAAAGCTGTTTTCTATTATTCTTTGAATTAAAGACGCTACAGATAGAGCTTTAACAAACTTAAGGCCCTTCAAGACATGTTTTGTTGACACAGCTATGTACCTAATCTATCCCTTATCTTGTCCATCTATGCCCAGTACCATTAGAAAAATCCTACAAGACTAAACTGTTGCAGTTAAACTTGGCATAGAAAGCACCAACCCTCCCGGAATCAGACATGGGCTTATGATAGCAGAACACCGAGTCTTCATTGTACTCTGAGAAATAGTCAGATTTGTGCAATTCTATTCCGATGATAAAAATTTACTTTCTTTTTACAGTATCCCTTTGTGGGGTGGAGTCTTGATCACAATTGTGGACACCTTCTTCTTCCTCTTCCTGGATAAATATGGTAAATACTAGGTCAGAGAGAAGGGAGGGATACGTGGTTGAGTCGTCTAGTGAGATATTCAAGTTTATGAGTTTGGTTACTATTTTGTTCGTGATATGCTCATATACAATATTGTAATGCCAACATAATATCACCACCATGTATATTGTCTGTATATTAGAGGATTTGTAGCTATCGTGTTATGAATGCTATGGATTTTTTTTGTAAGGTATTTGTCAGCAGGTATAATGGACATGCATGTAAGTTAGAGCAGGGCTTTTCAACCTTTTCACCCATTGTACCACTTTTAGGATATGGCAATATCCAAGTACCAACAGTCGCCTAGCTAAGTGTCAAAAACTTGATAACCCCCCCCCCCCCAAAAAGAAAAAAGTGATGAAGTACAGGTAGTCCTCAATTTACAACAGTTCGCTTAGTGACTGTTTGAAGTTACAATGGCACTGAAAAAAGTACCCCCCAAGCCACAGCCGAGCAAGACACCTGCCTGCCTGCCCGGTGGCGCTCTTCCTCCTGTCCGAGGTTTTCATTGTTGTGAGCATTTCTGTTGAGGATTGGCAGCGGGGGTGGTGTGGGTGGTGTTGGGTTTTTATTCCCCCCGTCTGCTGGGTGGTTGCAGCAGGTTTTGGTCACTTCACATGACCCTGGGACACTGTGACCATCATAAACATGAATCAGTTGCCAAGCATCTGAATGTAAATCACAAGACCCTGGAGATGCTGCAACATTCCAGCTGATCGGTGCTTCTTCTGGGCTCAGCAGAAGCGCCAGGATCAGCGCCGAGCTCCAGCTGGAGCCTGGCGCTGATCTTGGTGCTTCCACTGAGCCCTGACAGCCCCGAAGAAGCACTGATCCTGGCGCTTCCACTGAGCCCTGACAGCCCTGCAGCTCCAGCCATTTCTCATTCAGGCTTGTGCGGTGCTGCCACCAGTTCAGCTCATTCCCCTCCCCCCACTACCACTTTTCTAGGATGGTCGTGTATCACCTGCCAGGTGCCAATGTACCACAGATGGTACCCGTACCACTGGTTGAAAAGCCCTGAGTTAGAGTACATGTCACCCATACAAGGCATAAGGGTGTCAAGGTAGATGTATGCTTCTCACCCTACAGTACAGTATCATAGTGAAATTTTCTCTGAAGGCATAAGAGACAGTTCTCAAAATAGAATATAGTCTCCCACCTGCAAAAACAGATGATGCTCATGTGACCCAGATGAGGCAGTGGCTCCGGGTGGAAAACTAACAAAAAAAATAGGAAAAGAGGGCCAAACCAGACTGGCCAATCCTTGATAGAAAGTTGCATTGTTTGTATTTTGCATCACAAAACAAAGCATTCTGATGGTGGGCGTTCCACTTTGATTCTTCTGGAACTTGAGCTTAACATGGCTAGCCAACTTTGAGTTGGTAGGTGTACATTAGTGGCTGTATGTGTGAGCAAATAAAGCTTTTATTTCAGAAAGTAAGCCTGAATTGTAAATCACCATTTGTTCCTGTGTGCCCAGAATCTTTGGCTATATCAGAACAGGAGCACTCAAGGTATTATATAAATACACAGAGTGATTTCATGAAAATAATACTTATTTGCCTGGCAAATAAGGAGCACCAAGTAAAATGTGAAATACTGCTTGTAATAGCCATTAATGCAATTTTTCCTGCTGGAAGCTCTCAGAATTTTGCTCAAAGTACTTCAGGAGAGCACTGGAGTGAGAATAGTATAATTGAGAATCCCAAGGACTCCTATGGAGAATAAACCTCTTTCCCTTTTGTCTTTCCCTGACAGGTCTCAGGAAGTTAGAAGCCTTTTTCGCCCTCCTCATTACTATCATGGCAGTAACGTTTGGCTATGAGGTAAAGCATGCTCCCAGCTCCCACATGTGAGGATTTCAACCACTCTTCCCTCGACTGGCTAGCAGTTTGAGGCTTAGGACCTAAAAAAAAAAACCCACCCCATCCTCTGAAGCATCCAGCAGAGTGGCTTTCTCCAATCTGATACTGCACATGTATTATTATTATTATTATTATTATTATTATTATTATTATTATTATTATTATTATTATTATTATTATTAAATCCCCAGCAATGGGATCTGGAGAAAGGACATGTGACTGAAAAGTATTGAGTGGGAATATCCAATCAAGCTAATTTAGCCCAAGATTCAGTGGCCATCAGTGGCAACCAGATGCCATCAGGAAGCTCATAACAAAAATATGCATCCTGTTTCTTCCCTCATTTTTGTACCCAGTGACTGATTTTCAAACTATTCTGATGCTCTGTATTTAGAGGATGAGGTAGCCTGAAATAACCAGGGTGCTGTTTAATACTTTAAAAAAAAATTCAGAAAGATGTCCATGATGACATCTGCTGACAATGAATGCCAGAAGGAAATTGAATTGGGGGAGAAGATTTTGGTGTATCGTGGTCTTGTGGAAAACGAAAGGACTCTTACGAATTCCAGAGGGTGTTAGCAGAGAGGTTTATTTGTGCAGGTTCAGAAGCACAAAGACAGGCAATTCTGAACAAGAAGGGCGGGATTAGACTTCAGTTTTATACTTTCCTTTTCTTAGGAACAAAGGACTACACACTGTAATACACATTGTAATACATTAGGATCGTTTCTCATGGGCATACAATGGTAGGTTTTGCTACATACAAAGTATCTATGTGCAATGCGCATTTGGTTAGTCACATATTACTGACACAGAACTTTCCCAGTGATTATGCATTACATCATTATTCTAGCAATTATGCAGACAAATCATTATTCCAGCAATTGTTCATTATCCCACCTTATTTTACCACATTAGTGGTGTCAAAGCAATAGTCAATCATTGGAGATAAGTTGATGGAACATAATTGCTTGTGCTTTGTTCCATTGTATTAAGAATTTCTTACTTTAGGTATAGCTTTGCCACCAGGACTCACAAATGAATTAAGTTGCAGCACATTCTCGCATCTTTCAGACAAATCAAGATAAGCAACAACTATACTGACATTTTAATCGCCTTCATAGTGCAGCAGCATTGGGGGGGGGAGGTGTCTCATCTCATCTTTTCTCTTCTCTTCTTGGTTGCACACACCTTCCCCACTTTCCTAGTAATCATCTAGCCTGTTTTCCCAACTCCTGGATGCTCTAATTCCTCTTAACCTTTCTTCCAAGGTTCCTTGTAAGTCCATCTCCCTTTTTATAGTGTCTGGCATTCAGAAGAGGCATGCTTCCTAAAGGAAATGTGGGAGGAGACAGGATCCCATTTCCAAAATAAAGCAATAGGTACCTTGCCTTCCTCTGCATGGCCTAATCTTCCATTCTTCTTTCGGCAGTATGTCGTTGTAAAACCTGACCAAAAAGAGGTGCTGAAAGGGATGTTTATACCTTACTGCAAGAACTGTGGACACGAGCAGCTTCTGCAGGCTGTGGGTCTGGTTGGAGCCATCATTATGCCCCATAACATCTATTTACATTCTTCCCTTGTCAAGGTCAGTGTCTAACATTCAGATGCTTTATTTTGGGGCATAGATCAACAGTTCCTTGTGTATTGGATAAGAAGATGTTGCCCGTGTCTTCAAAGCTACTCATACATGCATCTTATGGTTTATGACAGCGTGATGCCCTTCTAATGGATGTGAAGGCAAAGAGAATAAAACATATTCCCCCATTGTCAATATATACTATCTTGTAGTAAAGCATTATTGCAATTTACGTTACATTTATTGGGCGGGGGGGGGGAGACTGCATTTTGCAACACCAGCGAAGCAAACCAGGATAGCCACCTGCTGGCCAGATTTAGGCCATATGTCTTGCGTAGATGCTACATCTTCTCTGTAGGTAAAATTCCTTGTTTTTAGCACTTACAACCTAATCGATGTGATATGGGATACGCATATCTTGCAATGTTTCAAGATTTAAGATAATACAGCTAGTCCTAGTTTAGGAACTGCCTTGTTTAACAACCATTCATAGGTATGACAGTCATGAAAAAATAACTTTGCAACCAGTCCTTGTATTAATGGCGTTCGCAGGTCTATAAAGCAAAGGAAAGCTGAAGTAAGATCAAAAGCACAGTTCCGGTTTCACTTAGCAACCACTTCACTTAATGACCAAGTGGCCATTTCCAATTACGACTGCTAAATGAGGACTACCTGTAAGGGTTATGAATTAGCAGAGGAGAAGGAATATGTACTTAACTTTTTCTTCATGCTGCAGAGGAAAGGATACAGTTGTTTTTTTTCTTCTGTAGGTAGGGAAACAACTTGGTTGAGGGTAGATTTTAGGCTGATAAAGGCTTGATTCAAGCATTGAGCTAAATCACATGACTTACTTGTTTTGGGATTTGCGAAGTGGTATGAACCCACCTGCTATTGTTTTTAGACCATGGTATTTAGCTTAATGTATTGTACAGATCTAGCTAAATAATTTGCTGATGGAAGAATTTGATATTTATTGTAAAATGTCTAAAATATAATCATTGTAAAAATAAAAGTTATTGCACATAAAGTTCAGCTGCTCAATAATTTTAGCTAGCCAGCTACCCACTCACTCTACATAGGCGCTAGAGGCAATGTGCCATTCAAGGTCTTATAGTCTTCTTGGTTATGGAAATTCTCTTCTCTTGGGTTTTGTTTCAGTTTTGTTTTGCTTTTTTTTTTTTTGTCTAAATGACTTAAAAGTGCTACAGGTACTCCTTGACTCAACAACAGTCCATTTTGTGACTGTTCAAAGTTACAACGGCACTGAAAAACAAGACTTATGGCCAGGACCGTTGCAGCATCCCCATGGTCACATGATCAAAATTCACATGCTTGGAAACTGACTCATATTAATGACAGTTGCGGCGTCCTAGAGTCACCTTTTGCAACCTCCTGAGAAGCAAAATCAATGGGGAAGCCACAGTCACTTGACAGCCGTGTTACTAACTTAACAACTGCAGTGATTCAATTAACAATTGTGGCAAGAAAGGTGGTAAAATGGGCAAAACTCACTTGACAAAGGTCTCACTTAGCAACAGAAATGTGGGGCTCAAATGTGATCGTAAGTCGAGGACTACCTGTATTTCGAAAGCACAACTGGTTTAAAAGTACAATTTTGTTGAAACTATACAACTTAGCTCTTTCCTTCGTCTTTGGGGTTGTGCTGAGCCCTGCTTGGATGATGGCACCCTTTCTGTTGGACTGCCATTTTAGGATTTCATTATGGACATCTGGTTTATGTAGTGTGGTTTTGAATTCTGTTAGTTTCTGTTGAATTTTTCTATAAGTCATGAAGAATGACTTTGATTGAATTGGACAGCCATATGGAAGTTTTCAATAAATAAATAAAAGCTGAAATTTGTATCAGCAGGGGATTCTTAACATGTAGATAAAGCATTCCATTGCATGTTTCATCTACAGAAATGAACAGAGTTGCTCAAAGTTTATCAGGACTAATGTTTGAAACCCAGCAGTTAAATATTATACATAACACAGCAGTAAAACGTAAAGCTTAATTATGACTAGATAGCACTTTGATTTGATTTGATTAGCAAGTTTACATTTGAAGACGCAACCATTTCTGATCGTGCCATGTCATATTAGATCATTTTAATCTGAGGTCTACTATTTCTTTACTCTTGTAGCAAAATTGGATTCTTAATTATTGAGTAATGGGTCTTTAATCAATTCAACCAAAGATAATTATGTCTAAGGGAATACAAAATTATCTTCAAGTTAACATTCAGGCTGAAAATGAAGGGATCCCATGAAAACTTATTAGAAAGCATTTATATGGGAAGCAAATTACAGTATATTTAAAAGAAGTAAATATAAAGAGAGGGAGAAAACAAAGCTATGCACAAACAGGCTAGAAATGCTGGGTTTTTTTGCTGTTTTTGTTATAAAATGCAAATAATAATTAGCAGTGGATAGTGAAGATATTATTAGAAATGTGATTTACTTGAAATATAAATCATTATGAGTTTTGAAATTATCTTCCAAAAATATTAGATTTTATCGTTAGAAAACCTTTTTAAAAACCCTTTCTTTGGTAAGTGCAACAGAATCTAATAATAATCAGAATCCTTTGTCTAAGCAAAAAGATTTGCTTTTACAGAATATTAGTCTGTTTATAAGTCAGTCCGGACAATACTTAAACTACTAACTAAAGCATAAGTAAACCCTTGTGCTATTAAATTAATTGAGAAATATACAAATTATCTTAATTAAACAATAATAAAAACTGTAAATGAAAATGTAATTAATTTTTGAATGGGTAAATTTCATGAATGGATGGTGTTAGACTGGATTTTTCAATGATAATGATAATGATAATGATAATAAATCATCGACATCATCATCATCAAATCTAGGTATCCAGTAGGGCAGTGATGGCGAACCTTTTAGAGACCGAGTGCCCAAAAACTGGCCCCACCCCCANGCATTGGGGGGGGGAGGTGTCTCATCTCATCTTTTCTCTTCTCTTCTTGGTTGCACACACCTTCCCCACTTTCCTAGTAATCATCTAGCCTGTTTTCCCAACTCCTGGATGCTCTAATTCCTCTTAACCTTTCTTCCAAGGTTCCTTGTAAGTCCATCTCCCTTTTTATAGTGTCTGGCATTCAGAAGAGGCATGCTTCATAGAGGAAATGTGGGAGGAGACAGGATCCCATTTCCAAAAGAAAGCAGTAGGTACCTTGCCTTCCTCTGCATGGCCTAATCTTCCATTCTTCTTTCGGCAGTATGTCGTTGTAAAACCTGACCAAAAAGAGGTGCTGAAAGGGATGTTTATACCTTACTGCAAGAACTGTGGACACGAGCAGCTTCTGCAGGCTGTGGGTCTGGTTGGAGCCATCATTATGCCCCATAACATCTATTTACATTCTTCCCTTGTCAAGGTCAGTGTCTAACACTCAGATGCTTTATTTTGGGGCATAGATCAACAGTTGTGTATTGTGTATTGGATAAGAAGATGTTGCCCGTGTCTTCAAAGCTACTCATACATGCATCTTATGGTTTATGACAGTGTGATGCCCTTCTAATGGATGTGAAGGCAAAGAGAATAAAACGTATTCCCCCATTGTCAATATATACTATCTTGTAGTAAAGCATTATTGCAATTTATGTTACATTTATTGGGCGGGAGGGGAGTGCATTTTGCAACACCAGCGAAGCAAACCAGGATAGCCACCTGCTGGCCAGATTTAGGCCATATGTCTTGCGTAGATGCTGCATCTTCTCTGTAGGTAAAATTCCTTGTTTTTAGCACCTACAACCTAATCGATGTGATATGGGATACGCATATCTTGCAATGTTTCAAGATTTAAGATAATACAGCTAGTCCTAGTTTAGGAACTGCCTTGTTTAACAACCATTCATAGGTCATGAAAAAATAACTTTGCAACCAGTCCTTGTATTAATGGCGTTCGCAGGTCTATAAAGCAAAGGAAAGCTGAAGTAAGATCAAAAGCACAGTTCCGGTTTCACTTAGCAACCACTTCACTTAATGACCAAGTGGCCATTTCCAATTACGACTGCTAAATGAGGACTACCTGTAAGGGTTATGAATTAGCAGAGGAGAAGGAATATGTACTTAACTTTTTCTTCATGCTGCAGAGGAAAGGATATGTTTTTTTCTTCTTCTGTAGGTAGGGAAACAACTTGGTTGAGGGTAGTTTTTAGGGCAGGCTGATAAAGGCTTGATTCAAACATTGAGCTAAATCACATGACTTACTTGTTTTGGGATTTGCAAAGTGGTATGAACCCACCCGCTATTGTTTTTATACCATGGTATTTAGCTTAATTTATTGTACAGATCCAGCTAAATAATTTGCTGATGGAAGAATTTGATATTTATTGTAAAATGCCTAAAATATAATCATTGTAAAAATAAAAGTTATTGCACATAAAGTTCAGCTGCTCAATAATTTTAGCTAGCCAGCAACCCACTCACACTACATAGGCTAGAGGCAATGTGCCATTCAAGATCTTATAGTCTTCTTGGTTATGGAAATTCTATTCTCTTGAGTTTTGTTTCAGTTTTGTTTTGCTTTTTTTTTGTCTAAATGACTTAAAAGTGCTACAGGTACTCCTTGACTCAACAACAGTTCATTTTGTGCACTGTTCAAAGTTACAACGGCACTGAAAAACAAGACTTATGGCCAGGACCGTTGCAGCATCCCCATGGTCACATGATCAAAATTCACATGCTTGGAAACTGACTCATATTAATGACAGTTGCGGCGTCCTGGAGTCATGTGACCACCTTTTGCAACCTCCTGAGAAGCAAAATCAATGGGGAAGCCACAGTCACTTGACAGCCGTGTTACTAACTTAACAACTGCAGTGATTCAATTAACAATTGTGGCAAGAAAGGTGGTAAAATAGGGCAAAACTCACTTGACAAAGGTCTCACTTAGCAACAGAAATGTGGGGCTCAAATGTGATCGTAAGTCGAGGACTACCTGTATTTCGAAAGCACAACTGGTTTAAAAGTACAATTTTGTTGAAACTATACAACTTAGCTCTTTCCTTCGTCTTTGGGGTTGTGCTGAACCCTGCTTGGATGATGGCACCCTTTCTGTTGGACTGCCATTTTAGGATTTCATTATGGACATCTGGTTTATGTAGTGTGGTTTTGAATTCTGTTAGTTTCTGTTGAATTTTTCTGTAAGTCATGAAGAATGACTTTGATTGAATTGGACAGCCATACGGAAGTTTTCAATAAATAAATAAAAGCTGAAATTTGTATCAGCAGGAGATTCTTAACATGTAGATAAAGCATTCCATTGCATGTTTCATCTACAGAAATGAACAGAGTTGCTCAAAGTTTATCAGGACTAATGTTTGAAACCCAGCAGTTAAATATTATACATAACATAGCAGTAAAACGTAAAGCTTAATTATGACTAGATAGCACTTTGATTTGATTTGATTAGCAAGTTTACATTTGAAGGCACAACCATTTCTGATCGTGCCATGTCAGATCATTTTAATCTGAGGTCTACTATTTCTTTACTCTTGTAGCAAAATTGGATTCTTAATTATTGAGTAATGGGTCTTTAATCAATTCAACCAAAGATAATTATATCTAAGGGAATACAAAATTATCTTCAAGTTAACATTCAGGCTGAAAATGAAGGGATCCCATGAAAACTTATTAGAAAGCATTTATATGGGAAACAAATTACAGTATATTTAAAAGAAGTAAATATAAAGAGAGGGAGAAAACAAAGCTATGTACAAACAGGTTAGAAATGCTGGTTTTTATGCTGTTTTTGTTATAAAATGCAAATAATAATTAGCAGTGGATAGTGAAGATATTATTAGAAATGTGATTTACTTGAAATATAAATCATTATGAGTTTTGAAATTATCTTCCAAAAATATTAGATTTTATCGTTAGAAAACTTTTTTTAAAACCCTTTCTTTGGTAAGTGCAACAGAATCTAATAATAATCAGAATCCTTTGTCTAAGCAAAAAGATTTGCTTTTACAGAATATTATTCTGTTTATAAGTCAGTCCGGACAATACTGAAACTACTAACTAAAGCATAAGTAAACCCTTGTGCTATTAAATTAATTGAGAAATATACAAATTGTCTTAATTAAACAATAATAAAAACTGTAAATGAAAATGTAGTTAATTTTTGAATGGGTAAATTTCATGAATGGATGGTGTTAGACTGGATTTTTCAATGATAATGATAATGATAATGATAATAAATCATCGACATCATCATCATCAAATCTAGGTATCCAGTAGGGCAGTGATGGCGAACCTTTTAGAGACCAAGTGCCCAAAAACTGGCCCCACCCCCACTTCACCCCCTGCCCTGCCCCTGCCCTGCCCCCACCCGTCCCCCACCCCACCTGCCCGCAGGGCCACTCACTGCCTCCAGGGCCCACTGAAAATTGTGCGGGATGGAGCATGAGGGCAGAGTCTTGTCTAAGTGTGCCTGGCTGCCATGTCCTTGGCTGCGCTGCTCCGTGTGGGCCACACTTGCGGGTGACTCTCCTCCAGGAGGGCTGCTGGTGAGGGGGTCATGGGAGGAGGCGAGGCTGGGGCAATGGCACGTGTGCCCACAGAGAGGGCCCCGAGTGCCGCCTCTGGCACACGTGCCATAGATTCGCCAACACTGCAGTGGGGTATTTGCAGACACAAAAATTCCTGACTGGAAAGCAATTTAGTTTCTAATTATTTATAATCAGCTGAGGGATTCTGGGAATTGAAGTCTGCACATCTTAAATTTGCCAAGGCTGAGAAGCACTGCTTTAATAAGAGTCCCAATAGATGTCACTATACTTTCCTGTTGCACTTTTATATCATAATAAACCAGTATTTCCTGCTCAACTATCCAATAGGCAAAACAAGGTTTAAGTAATTAGCCTGTACAGAACAGTTGACAATTCACTTCATATATGAACCAAGCATCCCTCTGAATCCACACAGCAAAAACACAAAGCACATCTATTTGAAAACTCAGTGTGTCTGCTTCCAAGTCCTGAGATTTGCTGTGCATTCAAAGAAGGCTTTGGGAGAGCCTTAAAGTAGCTATGCGGAAATTTAGAGAAGTTGCTTCATAGCTTGAAGCCACGTTGATGCTTCCCTCACAATTAAAGTCCCTCATCAAATGCAGAGCCCTATTACATATTACATATCAATCTGGATTTGAACATGTGATCAGGAGTGACTACATAAGTGCTAATCAACAGAGTATTAGGTGGAATAAGAATATTCAAAGTCTTAATGTAAAAAAGGAAGTATCATGTAATAAGCCTGTTTGCAGATGACATAATTACTTTTCTTGCAAATTCTGATCAAGATACTCTCTAATTACAACTTTAATACATTTCCCACAGTGGCATAACTAGAAATAAAGTTTCATAAATCATTTCTGTGCTAATTAAAGTTGATGAGGATGTTTCAAAAGTGCCTTTGGAAATCCACTAGTCTGCATCGTAACTCAGGATGGATTTAGATATTTAGGAGTAGTTGTTAGAAAATGTCAATACCAGTTTTAAAATTATAATATTTTTGCGGTAAGTCGAAATAGATATTTTCTTGTTAGAACAGGCACAATTAAAATAGCTGTTCTAAAATGTTATTCCTGTTTCAAATTTCCATTTTCCTTCCATACTGCTTTGAAAAATCCTTTCTTTGTGTAGTTATTTTTTTAAAACCTAAAATATTAACAAAACTATAATGAAAAGTAATATAGTAAATCTGACACCGCAGTGTTTTCAGTTAAATAATTAACTTTTAAAACTCGAAAGTCTAAATATCACTAGGCTTTTTATTACTTAAAGCAATGCATATATCCCAGATACTAAGAAATTAATTTAAAATGGTATTCGCTAAGTATTATAATATATGTGAAAGCGGTCTGTGTAATGCTCAGCCAATATTTTAAAGCAGGTTTTACTAAGAAGCCCTAATGGTTGCACATAACCCAAAGCCATTTATATGTCACGCTGGGCGAAAAGCAGCACATGTGATAGCTCCATGGAAAATACGAGGACTGAAGCTGACAAGGCAGGCAATAAGAAGCCTGAGAATAGATCAGATGATTGTGTAAACACAGCGCAGTGCCGTCAGCAGCAAAGCCTGAGAAACAGACTGCAAAAAAAAAAAAAATCTTTTATGAGGGCAGGAGAAAGGAATGCAGGCTTTAAACCCTGAGGCGACACACAGAAATATATCACAAGATTCTTAAACTCAGTAGAAGCTGATTCTTGTCCATCCGAGAATGACTTACTGGGAATAAAAACCTAGCCAAACCTTTTTCCTTCACTTCTCACTGTTTGGGACTTGGGGCTTGAGCTGGGGCTTCTAAACAGAGGTTATTGTGAAGCATGAGCCCATCCCTGGAGATTTCTGATAGATGACCTCACCCACACTCTCAAATGGTCGGATCGATTTCATCCATGTCGTTTAATGCAGGCGTTCCCTGCCCTAACATCCTATGTCCTATGGGGAGGGGGCAAGACCACTAGAATATCCTGTGGCACACATAAAGATAGAAACTATTGCACTTTTTCTCCGACAGACCCGAGAAGTGGATCGCACCAACCAGAAAGCAGTGAAAGAAGCAAATATGTATTTTCTGGTTGAATCCACCATTGCACTCTTTATTTCCTTCCTCATCAATCTCTTTGTCATGTCTGTGTTTGGCCAGGCTTTTTTTCAACACACCAACCAGGAAGCGGTAAGTCATGAGCCCACATTTTCTTCCCTTGAAGGCAACCCTGACATTAACATCTATGGTTCCTTCCCCCTACGTGTAGGCTTTTATTCTTTTGACCAAAGAAAACGATAGAAAAGGACTTGGGGGGGGTCCTATCTGTCCATCAGCCCAAGAGCTCTCCCAAAAGGGAACCAAAGAGGGTCAAATTTGGAGGGAGAAGCCAAATATAGATAGATATGAATCAATCAATCAATTAGGAAAGAGTCAGGTTAAGCTGGGGGATATAGAGATTTTTTTTTTAAGCAGGAAAGAAAATCACCCAGTGCATTCCCATGGGAGAAGCACTTAGACAGTGGCTTAGAATGTAATTTACCTATCTATTTAAATTGAGCTCTCTCCCTCCCTCCCTCCCTCTCCCCCTCTCTCTTCCTTCCCAGATGTGACTCAGAATGGAGTTATTCTGAAAGGGTTGGGAATAATCCCAGAAGCCTTGTTCTGTATGCTTTTTCTGTCTTGTTTTCTCTGCTTCCCTAAGAAGGTTTAGGAAAAAAGAGAGTGAGTTATTCCTTCAGTCAAATAGGAGTTGGCCGTCCTCTTCCTATTTACCTATCCTAGCACCTCTGATAGAATGTCCTATAGTATGTGACTGTGATATTTCAATGACTGGGAGTCACATAAACAGGGACCCTTTAGTGCAAACCAATGCAGTAAAAGCTTACCTTTACTAGTTGTGAAGAAGGAAGAAAACTGAAAAGCAGATTTTTGCAGCATTGGCATATACGATAAGTGTTCCTACCATTAAATAAAGGAAGCTGGCCATTATTAGCAACAAAGATTAGGAAAAAAGGGGTATAAGTGATGGTAAGGTGCATAGGGACAGACCTGCGGATCCCACATATTTGTGTGAGAGTTGTAATTTGTTCTAGACAGTTTACACAGACACACAGAGATACCAAAGGGGATGACAAGGAATATCGGAAGTGATTAATAGCATTAAAGAGATTTAAGATAGAGTTACCCTACAATTTTTCAAACAGCGGGCTGGTCATTTTATGGCATAGCAAAGAGTGCAGGAATTTGCTTCTCCAAGGTGCCTGTAATAGGTCTGTTTCTGATTTCTAATGAAATAATTTTGGTTTTTTTTCTTTTGTCTTATATACCCCAGCATGATGTCTGTGCCAATCAGAGCTTATTCTTGAATCAGAGCATTTTCCCCAACTTTCCTGAAAATAATGAGACTGTGACTGTGGATATTTTCCAAGGGGTAAGTATTCAGCAAAATGGCGGCTATCAACCAAATGGGTGCTGATACAAAACAGTCGAACTGCACAGAATCTCCAGATGAACACTCCACTGCTTGTGTTCGCCCAAGGACTGGCACTGTGAAGTAATGCTGCTCCCATAATGTTTTATGGGAAAACCTACAGTAGGAATGTCCATAATTACTTGGTCACCACATGCTGAACCAGCTGAAGCTTCCAATTGGAGTGCAAAGGTTGCTTTGCGTTGTAGTAGTCCAGACATGAGTTGTTAAGGGCATATGTGATCATAAACAAAGCCTCCTGTTCCAGAAATGGTTTTAACTGGCACATAAGATATAATTGCACAAAGGGCTTCCTATCCATAGTTCCCCACCTGCTATTCAGAACTGCCCCCCCAGATATTGAGCCAACTTTTTCACAGGGACTACAGCCCCATCTAGAGTTACAGATGTTCAGCTATTTTCAGAATCAGTTGCCTTTCAATTTTGCAGTCACTTCCTCTAGCTGAGATTGAATCCGAGTCTCTACCTCCCCACCTTCCAAATATATCAAATTCCACCACATTGCCTTTCTAACCAAGGGTGGAGATGTGCATTTAGGTAGGCGGCTTCTCCTAGCAGATGTTAAACAATAGGGAGAGGAGGTCTAAGACCTACGGTTGTCACTTCTGTTGTTTTTTAAATTTCCTTATCTTGAAGCCTTGTGATTGACTTAAAATTCCCTCTCCTCTCCGCTCCATCGTTTTCTCTTTAATTAGAGCTTATCTAATAATTTTCTATTTTTAGTTCTTCAGGTTGTTACTACTGTATTGTCACTATAATGTTAGGCTTTGGCAAATGAGATGGTGAGCAGCTGTGTGGACCTTTGCAGGATGATTTCATGCATTTTTACATAGCACAATGAGTATGTGCATTTTGGAATGCAAGCCATGAATGTTTGCCTTTTTCTATGCAGGGAATTATCCTGGGATGTTACTTTGGGCCCATTGCTCTTTATATCTGGGCTGTTGGGATCCTTGCAGCAGGTCAAAGTTCAACCATGACAGGAACCTATGCAGGACAGTTTGTTATGGAGGTGAGAAAATACCTGGAGATGCATAGTAAATTGGGGAGGGGGGAGGGCTGATGTTCAGCACTGGCAAAGGATGAGTAACCACAGATGATGCCTGCCTGCCTGCCTGTCTCTAAAATAGATATAAAAGTCTTGTTAAATATAAGGCAATGTAACTATAGTTTTCTTTGCTCTTAAGTTACAAAATGCAAAAGAAGGAAAGCAATCTGAAACTTCTGGACTTTGCCTTTCTTCCTTTCCTTACCTATATCCCCCACACATAATGGTATCACTATGTCTTGACATGTCTTTGTCAAAGTACAGAAGTTTCCTGATTCATATACGGTTTCTGATTGTTATGCTTTCATTTAATAGCTGATGAATTCCAAAATTCCTATTTCCCTCATCATCTTTCCTGACCTCTCCCACGGGTGAAATACTCCCTCTCCTCATATTTTCTCCCATGATTTTTCCAGCTCCATGTGTCCTTTTAAGTCCAGACTCATATTATCCTGTTAGAACGTCTTTTCCCCATGGCAGATACAGTCCGTACGCTGTCCTTGAGGTGGTTGAAAACTATTGGTCTAAGATTTGCTTTCCATACTACCCCTAGTTCTTTTTTCCTGCCCCAATGCTCTCTGCTCTATCCTGCCACTTAAAGTGGTGTCCTGGGTTTTGGGTTTGCTTAGCACATCAAACAAAACTATTGGTTAAGATCTGTAGCTTTCTTCCTCTTTCCCTTTTCTGCATATCATCAGCCCCGTGTGAAATAATCTACCATCAGTGCTAGCAGTTTTTCGGATGACTGATCCAGTGCTCCGCTTTGTCTAGACAAGTCAGATCAAAGTGCTTTCATGGGCAAAGATGAAGCAAGTTTTGACAGGTGGATGTGCAAAATTGATGTTGGGGGTTTGAAACTTTATTAGCCTCCGATCCATTAAGGAGAACCCCCTCCTCCACCTGTGATCCCAATGGGATTCTTTGACCATGGTCACAGATAATAGCACTCGGGCCATTGCTACATAATTTGCCTACCTATCATTTTATTTTCCCACAATGCTCCACAACAAAGCTACATTACAAGTACTGGGGAAAATTAACATGCAGGGGTAGATCGAGTGCACAATGCCAAAAAAGTACTGAGTGGAAGTGCAGTGTGATTGACAGCAATCATACTGCACACATGAGGCCAGCAGCAGACCAAGGCCATTGCTGGCCCCCACATCTAAGGGCCTAACCTGAGCCAGGTCTCCTCAGAATTCTGCTCTAGGGCGAGTTTGTGGTCTCGTATTTTCACGTGGAAAGATGCAGCAGAACAGAGTCTGTTGCAGAGGCACAGATGTTTTCCTGCATACAGTCTAAGGCAAGGCTTTTCAACCAGTGGTACGGGTACCACCTGTGGTACATTGGCACCTGGCAGGTGGTACGCGACCATCCTAGAAAAGTGGTAGTGGGGGAAGGGAATGAGCTGAACCGGTGGCAGCACCGCACAAACCTGAGCGAGAGATGGCTGGAGCTGCAGGGCTGTCAGGGCTCAGTGGAAGGGCCAGGATCAGCGCCAGGCTCCAGCTGGAGCTCGGTGCTGATCCTGGCGCTTCTGCTGAGCCCAGAATAAGCGCCGATCAGCTGGAAAGTGGCACTGATCCTGGTGCTTCTGCTGAGCCCAGAAGAAGCACCGATCAGCTGGAATGTTGCAGCATCTCCAGGGTCTTGTGATTTACATTCAGTTGCTTGGCAACTGATTCATATTTATGATGGAATCAGTGTCCCAGGGTCATGTGAAGTGACCAAAACCTGCTGCAACCACCCAGCAGACGGGGGGAATAAAACCAAACACCACCCCACACCACCCCCGCTGCCAATCCTCAACAGAAATGCTCACAACAATGAAAACCTTGGACAGGAGGAAGACCGCTGTTGGGTGGGCAGGCAGGTATCTTGCTCAGCTGTGCCTTGGGGGGCACTTTTTTCAGTGCCACTTTAACTTCGAAAAGTCACTAAGCGAACTGTTGTAAGTCGAGGACTATCTGTACTTCATCACTTTTTTCCTTTTTTTTTTTTTGGTCATCAAGTTTTTGACACCTTGCTAGGCGACTGGTGGTCCTCGGATATTGCCATATCCTAAAAGTGGTACAATGGGTGAAAAGGTTGAAAAGCCCTGGTCTAAGGCTCTCTTTGCTTTTATTTGTTTCCACTGTTAGATGAAGGGGTTTTGTTTTTTGTTTAGACCACAGCTTGTACTTGATTGGAGAAGTCTTGTTTTAGGTGTTAGTGTTTTAGATGGCGTCTGCTGCATCAAGGTTCAAAGAAAATCCAGAAAAGCAGTGAAAATATATCTATAAATCATTAAAGGGTTGGTTAAAATGTGCCTTTTTTCAAGACAGGACAGCTATAGCTTATTAGCCTCCAGGGTATAATCCCAATTAAAGCTAGATGAAGACATTTAATGGGACTTGGGCCAAACACTTGTGGTAAACCCGGACTACAAGGCATTGCAATGCTGCCATCTATGGTCTAATAATTGCTAGTCTGCTATTCAGAAGTGACCAGATGGATCAAAGTAACTTTGCGTTCCCTAGCAGTCCACCAAATGCCTCCAGAAATCTTCTAAATGGAGGAGGAGAAATGCAATATTCTCCCACTTGGTTCCATAACAACCAGCCTTGAGAAGCGTATGTTCTCTGTAAGCTTTATCATGATTAACACTGGATAGGTTTCCTCTGGATAAAATCTTTAAAATGGGCTCCCTCCCAAAATCATTCATAGGCTGTACTACACCCACACAAACATACTGTTTGTGCATATTTATCTGATCCCCTAATCTGATCCACATGCTGTCCCAGGCTATGCGATGCTCTGGGCCTAATTTTAAGATGGCTTTGCCCAAGCTGATGTGCTCCAGTTATGTTTTGCTACAGGGCTTTCATTCCCAGCCAGGATGACTTAAGAATATAAGCGAGGGAATTTAGCAGGAGAGTAGTGGGTGGGGAGGCACGGTTTCAAGTGAAAGTGATCTACAGATGAGTAAAGGGAATGGTTCCAAGGATACTTGTGACTATTAAAAGCAGAGGTCTTCAAACTTGGCCCTTTTATGACTTGTGGACTTCAACTCCCAGAATTCTTCAGCCAGCGTGCCTGGCTGAGGAATTCTGGGAGTTGAAGTCCACAAGTCACAAAAGGGACAAGCTTGAAGACCCCTGATTAAAAGCATCAAGAACAAGGCAGAAGACTCTTGTTTAATCTTTCCCATTATTCTGATTGTTCTCTCCGCCTCTAACTAGTGGTGCTTTTCTAGTGTTCTGTTCTGAGCCTATTCCTCCTTGGGTGCCTAGGTATGATTCAACAGGCTGTCCATTTCTTCATTTTTTATTTTAAAATTGAAACAGGTTCAAAAGAGTCCTCTTGGCCTGTGAAATACTCGCCCTTTCTGCTTCTTAGGCAGCTAGCGAATTGCTTGTTCTTTTACAGCACCAATTTGTTCTCTGAGAAATGCCCTGTCGCTAGAAATGGCCTCTACGGTGCCCATTGGGGAAGAATAACCCTTACACACTGTCTACATTCCAAATATAGTCAAATAACTCAACTTTTTGCTTTTTTTTTTTTTGCAATAATTTAAATTGACCACTAGGTTGCAATCTTTTTTCAAGATACTTGCCGTTGGGTTAGAGATGAACTGTGCTCGAAGTTGCGGTTTCTTCTACTGGCCTTCACCTTCTCACTCATAATCGTGATTTTTAAAAAATGCCCCAGCAACATCATTTTTCTGTCTGGCAAGGCACCCATGATGCTGCTTTCATCTCATCCCCGGCCCACAGCTGAGACTGGCTTAAGTAGTTCTTAGCTGTATCTGTGACTTAAAGGAATGTTTTCCTTCTTATTCTGACGCCATTCAAGAGAGCCTCAAGTTAGGCAAAAGAGGTTAAGCTTGGATTTTTTTTTTCAGATGGCCAAGAGACGGGGGGTTGATAAATATAGCAGGACCACCAATGACTGATAGTAGCATAACCTTTATAAAACTCTCTCTTTTTATTTCCCGCAGGGTTTCTTGCAACTGCGCTGGTCTCGCTTTGCCCGTGTGGTCTTCACTCGTTCCTTCGCCATTCTTCCCACCGTCTTTGTCGCTGCCTTCAGGAATGTGGGAGACTTAACCGGCCTCAACGACCTTCTGAACGTACTGCAGAGCATCCTGGTGAGCTTCGAATCCAACAGAATCCTTCTCTCAAGATTCGCTACAGAGAGTCCTCAACTCACAACCATCCATTTAGCAACAGATGGAATTTACAACGGCGCTGGAAAAAGTGACCCGGGACCGATCCTTGTCCTTATGACCATTGCAGCATCTTCACAGTCGCATGATAAAAATTCAGGCACTTGGCAGGTGTTTATAAGGGCTGCAGCATCCCGGGGAGTCATGTGATCACTCTTTGTGACTTTCACAGCCAGCTTCCGACAAGCAAAGTTAATGGGAGAAGCTGGATTTGCTTAAGGACCATATGATTCACTTAACAATTTGCAGCAATTTGCTTGACAGCCGTAGCAGAAAAGGCTGTAAAATCAGGTGTGACTCGCTTAATAATTGGCTTGCTTAGCCATGGAAGTTCTAATCCCAATTATAGTTGTAAGTCGAGGACTACCTGTACTGCAGATTCTCAAAGATCTGACTAGCTATAGGCTTCCATATGGATCCTCTAATCCCATACCGCTACTTTCTGAATCTGGCATCCTGCAGATATATGGACTTCAGATCCCAGAATTCTCTTCAGCACCATCTAAATGGGGAATTCTGAGTGCTGAAATCTATCATTTTGGTGAGTGCTCAAATTCAGTCAGATTAGTTAGGACTAAAACTCCCAGTATTTTCTTTCTTCTTGACCATCCTAGTAATGATGGAATTTGTAATCCAACATACTGTATCTAGTCCATCTGGGATGGCTGCTATTTTCCTCATCCTGCTAATCCTTCTTTCAAGGAACTCCACACATTTTCTTTTAATTCTGCAAAATTCAAAGCCAGATAAAATAGCCATCTTTCACAGCTTCAATAGCCATGTCTACCTTCACATGGCATGCTTAGCCAGGTCAGAAGATTAAACAGATTGTACAACATGCTTAATTTGTGTTCACCTTTTTGGTTTGTTTGCTTTTGTGGTTTAATGTGTTCTGAAGTGCCAGCTTGTTTGCTTAGTTTAAGATTCGATTTATTGTGCCACTGCAGAAAATGAGCTATTTCAATAACCAGGTTAAGTGTCTTTTGTGAATGCAGACTCCCAGTGGAAATGCAAATACAGGTAGTCCTCAATGTACGACCACAACTGAGCCCAAAATTTATGTTGCTAAGTGAGAAATGTGTTGAGTTTTACCCCATTTTAAGACTTTTCTTGCCGCATTTGTTAAGCGAATCACTGCAGTTGTTAAATTAGTAACCCTGTTGTTAAGTGAATCTGGTTTCCTCACTGACTTTGCTTGTCAGAAGGTTGCAAAAGGTGATCACATGACCCTGGGACACTGCAACCATCATAAATGTGTGTCAGTTATCAAATATCTGAATGTAAATCACAAGACCCTGAGGATGCTGCAACGGTGATAAGTGTGAAAAGTGGTCATAAGTCACTTTTTTCAGTGCCATTGTAATTTCGAACAGTCATTAAGTGAATTGTTGTAAGTTGAGGACTACCTTTATAAACATTGCTTATCTGTTTGCAACAAACTAGTTTATTTAACCACATTTGCCAGAAAAATAGTGACAACAATCTTTTATCTGTTAGGGACATGAAAGAAAAGATTTTAAAAAAAAATTATTCTAGAACTTTCAACAGATCCCTAAAGTTCTGTGACAGGAATGGGCATCCCACAACCATCAAATGTTGAATTACAATTCCCAGAATTCCATTCCATTGACATGCAGACCAGGGCTGCTGGGAGATAGTCCAACATCTGAAAAGCTCCAGATATTTCACTTGTGAATATAAGGCAAACCTGTTTTTTCCAATAGTCTGTAGGTCAAGGCTGGAGCGCAAGTTACAGGAGGGGAGTTTTGATTAAACTTCAGGAATAACTTAGTGATGGTAAATGCAGTTGGAACAGTAAAAACACAGTCAGAGCTTTTCATGCTGAAGCCTGGCGCTTATCTGCTAGCTTTGGATATTTTTCATCAGATAAGGAATGGACTACAAACCCACATTATGATTATAGGGCAGCGGTCTTCAAACTTGGCCCTTTTATGACTTGTGGACTTCAACTCCCAGAATTCCTCAGCCAGGCATGCCTGAGGAATTCTGGGAGTTGAAGTCCACAAGTCATAAAAGGGCCAAGTTTGAAGACCCCCTATTATAGGGTCTTATAAGAACTGCAGGTCACTTAAATGCCTTTTAGATCAAATCCAACATTAACATTGGTTAGGAATTATAGAAGCTGTTCAAAAATATCTGGAAGGCACAAAACTGTCTACTATTGCTATGATGTAATGCTAGTTTGCTAATGATCCTCTGAGACCAGCAAGAAACGATGATATATCATGAGCCTGTGAACAGTGGGAACTGATGCAGAATGTGGCAGGGTGGGCAGTTCTTGGGGCTCCTAGGTGGCCCATGTTGCACTGCTGTTCCACAAATTGCATGACTGCCACTTTGCTTCCGGGTGCAATTCAAGGTGTTGATTATCACCTTTAAAGCCCATCGCAGTGTGAGGAACTGTCTTATTCCAGTGGAACAGGCCTGCCTTACCCATGCCAGCAGAACGGGCATAATGCAGAGCCCAACAGTCCAGGAATTTAGGATGGTGAGATCCAGGAGGCTAGTTTTCTCTCCTGTGGCTCCTGCCCCCCCCCCAAGGTGAGATCCTTCTGACCTTCTGTAAGAGCCTGAAGACCTGGTTCTGCCAGTTAGCCTGGGGCCCATTGAGGTGTATCACACTGGAGGTGACTGACAGACTAAGTCAGGGGTAGGCAATCTCGGCTCTTTTATGACTCATGGACTTCAACTCCCAGAATTCCTGAGTCAGCTGACTCAGGAATTCTGGGAGTTGAAGTCCTTGAGTCATAAAAGAGCCGAGGTTGCCTACCCCTGGACTAAGGCAAGACCCCATCTCCTTCTCCCCACTGTGTGCCTCCTGCTCCCTTCCTCCCCATCTTTTTTAATTGTAAATTATTACTGTTATTAAGAGCATTTGCTGCTTCAATGTTTTATTGGCTTTTAATGTTTGCAGGTCGCCCAGAGTTCCTCTTGGAGAGAAGGGGTGGCAAATAAGTCTAATAAATAAACAAACAAACAAACAAACTATGGTCAGGAGTCCCTTAGAAAATATGCTGGTTGTTCGCCCATGTAGTTCCATTAAAAATTCTGAGAAGGGGTAGAGAAAGAAAACATAGGGCTCATTTTTAAAACCCGCCTGCGTTCTCAACCTATTTTTTTTTCCCTACCTAATTCTAGCTACCTTTTGCCGTCATACCTGTTCTCACCTTCACCAGCATGGAACCGCTCATGAAGGATTTTGTCAACGGGATGTAAGTAGCTAAATATGGATGAGGACTCCTTGGTGATTCTGAGGACCATTTCCATCTTAAATTTGAACTGTTGAACCTGCCCCAGCACCACACCGCCCAGATCTCTATCTTCCATCAAAGTCCAATTTAGTCTGGCTTGCTTGTTCTTCCGTATAAACAGCTTTTTCTTTGGGTTGTTCCATAAACAGAAGATGCTCAGGAGGTGTCCCTGTCACGTGTAAGCTTAGCCTCTGGTGACGACTACATGGATATGTCCATCCTTTTTTGGCAATAATAAGTCACCATAAATGTAGGCATTATTTATGCTAATTATAGTATTTAGAGGATTGCACAGTTTCTTTTTCTTTAAAGACAAAAAAATGGAAGAAATCAAGGTAAGGAGCGTTTTCAGAAGAGGGAAAGACTTCTACTCCCCACAGAGGTTAATCGCCTTTCACTCTAGGTGATTTGGCAGATGTAGCTCTAAAACGTGGTTGAGATGGAATTGCTTCAATAACCTTTTTCCCCCCACTCGCTTTTCTCTCTCCTCTTGTTTTTTTAGCATTGGAAAATTTCTAATGATCCTGATCACTGGATTAATCTGTGCAATCAATTTATACTTCGTGGTGACAAGCATCATAAGCCTAAACTATCTGGCATACTACATTGCCATATCATTTGTGCTCCTCGCTTACGTGGCCTTCGTCTGCTACCTGGTAGGAAGCTTGCATGCAAATTTGGCATCACCCATAGCGGTTGTTTATCCCCAAATTGGATTTAACAGTTCTAGGGATTACCTTATTCAAACAGATAAGATTGTGGAATCTATTGCGTTAAACTGTTCCTAATGCAAAATCTCCAGAGAAGATAATCAGTGACTTAAGTGGTAGTGATGAAATAGCGATATCAGTTTATCCTGAATATTCAGTCAGCCCTTGTGGATCTCTTTCTCTTTCCCCATTCCTTATCATAATTAAAAGTGATGTGATATAAAGATAGGTGTTTATGAAGCAATAGAACAACAATGCTGGAGAAGGCACAGAAATGGACTGAAATTACATCACTTGTTAAGCCATAATGTTGTTTGGCTTTAGCCCAGCCTGTTATGCCAAATTCAGTGTGCCATTTCTAAGCAAATTGCAGCTTAGCACAACTTCTGGAACAGATCTAGCAGTCCCAGGGAAATGATACCACCTTATTTACTTATGTACTTACCTTGTGAAAGAAAAAGAGCTCACGCGTGTCTCTTGTTGGGACAAGGGTGAGTATATTGGCTGAGAATTCTGAGAATGATCACCCCAACATGGGTGAAGGGCAAAAGTTGAAGACAAACTTAAGAATGTAAGAGAATTTTTAATGGGGAAAAATGGGTTAGTCACACAGAGACACAGAAGCTTGCTTACTGTTGCAGGCAGACAGAGACTATAGGGAAAGTTCTGTGGCTTCATGGTCAAAACTCTCCCTCATTTATTTATTTAATATACATTTATGGCCACCCATCTCATATACATGGCTATACTGTAGAAATACATGTAACTTGTTCTTGGATTTTGTCTTATCTCTCACCATTCCAGATTTGGACCTGTCTCATTTCCCATGGAGCTGCCTTCCTGGCTCGTGGGCCCCATACTCGGTTCGGTTATGGACTGCAGTGATAGTACATCCCACTCATCCCCACTGGAAGCTGATGAATCATCACTATCTCTCCCCAACAAAACAGGAAGCAGCTGCTCTTGGGGACCTGCCAGGAGGCAAAGGTGTCAGAAGCACAGTTTCTGTTGGCAAAGGATGAACTCTAGCATCAGTAGTGATCACTCAGCAGCACAGCACAGTGCCTGCCTTGCAGGCAAAAAGTTCCAGGGACAATTTCTGGCATTCCTAAAGAACCTTCAGACTTGGAATGGCTGTGGTGTAACTTCCAGAGAGGGTTCAAGACCTGATGCACTCTTGTTTTTAATCCTGACAATATGTAGCAAGTTGGCAGCAGGGGGGGGGGAGTACAAAGAAAGAACTATAAAGTATTCTAGATACTCATGACCAACTTCTACCAGCTTCAGACCCAGATCGGCTTTGTGTGGAACATCAAGACATGCACTTCAGTAGTGGGTGGGAAGCAGTCCTTCTTTTGGGTAGGTGGGATTAGGAACTTAAAGAATGGTGGTAAAGAGACATTTTGTGATTTCACCATTGATGAGGTCACAAAGAAATGCTGGGAATGCACATATCCCTTTGGTTCTACTTTTGCACCATTGCCATAGACTTTCTCCTTCAAGCTGCATATTCTGGCCTCTGCTCTGACTATGGGAAACCCATCAAAGCAATATGTACCTTATATTTATACTGCAGGATCTGGCAGCTATTCCTTCTTTGCCCCCATTTTAATCTAAAGGCCAGTATCAGAGCCTACAACTGACAATTCCACAAGCCCACACTCTGGTCAAGGATCCACTGTAGATCAACCATCTCTCTCCATCTTCTCCATGTTATTGCTGCTTGGCTTCTGCCCTCAGGATGAAAGTAGTAATGGGAATGACAAATGGAGTAATAAATCATCTTAATTAGAACAAGGAGGTCCACTCAGTATGTCAATTCAAACATTATGCTAAGCCATGACTTATTTAACTATGGCTTATTGACTAATACGACATTGTGGGGTTTTTTTTTTGACATAACATGATGTGGGATTTACAACTTGCAAATGTTGCGCTTACACAGTACACCAAACCAAAGCAAAACAACCACTTCATGGTTTAGTGTAAGGGATTAGAGAAGGCATAGGATTCTCAAAGTCTATAACAAATGCTGTTAACATAATTTGGATTGCAAATTTTCCTCCTCGTCTTAAGACACTTCAATTCTAGCAGTTCCTTTTCAGATCAATGTCTTTAGTTTAAGCTCCTATGCTGCCATGGCACTAAAACATAGAGGTAATCCTCAACTTGCAAACATAATTGAGGCTGGAATCCTAGTTGTTGAATAAAGTGGTTAAACCAGTTATTATATGACCACTTCACTCAACAACTCATAATCCTGACTTGCCCAGTTGTGGTTGTTAAGCAACTGTGCAGGTCGTTAAATGGAACACCAGGGAGAAGGCCCAGACCTCCAGTTCATGGTGGGGCAGGGAAGAGGACCCAGGCCTCCCATCACACCCGTGAAGTCCAAGCCCTCTTCTGCCTCACCAGGGATAATGATTGCAAGAACAATGGAGTTCTAGAGGGCAAATCCCTTGTCGCATTGGAGGAACAGACCTCAAATCTGGCAGAAACTGGAAGACTCAGAATGCTGGCATTTGCTTGCAATCTCACCAAATTTGAAGTCCGTTTCTCCAGCACATGAGTGGAGTTCTCCTCCCTACATGGAAGCAAGGGAAAATCCCTTAGCATGCTGGGGGAAATTACCTCAAATCCTTCATCCTTCAAATCCATTCTCTGCTGCTTCCCCACTGGCTTTCTGGGGAAGCCAGCAAGAAAATTGTAAATGGCAATCACAGGATCGCAGGACACTTGGCAACCAGTCATAAATGAGAACAATAAAAGCGCCCAAAATGTAATCAGGTGACTTGGAAATGCCAATACGATGTTTTATAATGGCCAGAAGTGCTTTACAGGTTGTAAAGCATTTTTTTCCAAAGCTATCATGATTGCAAACGTTCATTAAATGACCAGTCATAATTTACCTGTAGATGGAATGACTCAAAAGGCATAGAAAATTGGAAATGAAACATGAGTTTCACTTTTCACAAAAGCTATCTATTCTGTGTATCATGAAGTACTGTCCTGAAAGAAATAGTAGATGTAAAAAAGGATGAATCTCCCATATCTTAAATCTGGGCTTGGCAATGAAATGATGACAAGGCCCCTAGAAATCTTCTCAAGACAGTGGTAGCCTTGCAGCATTCTCATCTTCATATATTCCCACAGTTGGGTTTTGACCCAAAGAAAAGAAAATGAACTGTGGGCCAACTAGACCCAAAGTGATGCTTGTGTTTTTTACATTATTCTTGGTTTATGCCTGGAGGACCAGGAGAATGGTCAGAGAGAGGATAGGAAGGAGTTCAATAAATTCCAGAGGAGAAAAAAAAATGTCTGGAAAAGTTGGGGAGCAGAAATCAATAGAGGGAATGAAGAGAGGAGGATATCCAGAGAAGGAAGAAAAAAACCACATACTTCTACATACAGACAGAGAGCCTTTATATACAGAGAGAAAAGCTATCCCAACATTTTGTGGCTGGCCCTGCCCTTCCTGGCTGCCAATCTGTGGTCGTACAGTACTCAGCCAGCTTGTTCAGTTTTCCAAATACGTTCAAGATCTCCCAGAATCTGGAGACCTCTGCCCTTGATATAGTAGTTAAGTAAAAAGAAGGATTTCCTGCTGCACTTTTTAAACCTGCAGACCTAGCAAAGCTATGCATCTAGAAACAAAGAAAGTTATAATGGGTTTGTTAAAAACAGATCATGCCAAACCAACCTTATTTCATTCTTTGATCAGGTGACTAAATTGGTGGACCAGCGGAATGCTGTGGACGTGGTATATTTGGACTTCAGCAAGGCATTTGACAAAGTAGACCACAACCTACTTCTTGGAAAGCTTAAAAAAAATGGGATAGACAGCACCACCATCAGATGGATTTTTAACTGGCTGACAAACCACACTCAAAGAGTAGTCCTTAAAAGTGCTACATCTACATGGAGGGAAGTAAGCAGTGGGGTACTATAAGGTTCTGTCCTAGGCCCAGTACTCAACATCTTCATAAACGATCTAGATGGGTGAATAGAAGGGGAACTTATCAAATTTGCAGATGACACTAAGCTAGCAGGAACAGCCAACACCCTAGATGATAGGCTCAAGATCCAGAGGGATCTTGACAGACTTGAACATTGGGCCCTATCCAGGGCTTTTTTTCTCGGAGAAAAGGTGGCGGAACTCAAACCTGGCCACGCCCTCATCAAACCCTAGGACCGCCCCTTTAGAGAACAGGAATGCAAGTAAAATTTGGGAGGGGCTATTTCCGGTGTGGGAGGGGCTATTTCCGGTGCGGCCGGCCCGGAAAAAGGTGCCGGAACGCGGTTCCGCCGCGTTCCGNGGCCCTATCTAACAAAATGAAATTCAATGTAGAGAAAAGTAAAGTCTTACACTTAGGCAAGAAAAAACAAAAGTACACATATAGATCGGGTGAAACCGGGCTTAATAGCAGTAACTGTAAGAGGGATCTTGAAATCTTAGTGGATAATCAATTAAATATGAGCCAACAGTGTGCAGCAGCAGCCAAAAAAGCCAATGCAATCCTAAATTGCATTAACAGAGGGATTCAATCAAGATTTTACTTGAGGTACTAATACCACTCTATAAAGCCTTAGTAAGACCACACCTACAATACTGCAATCAATTTTGATCTCCACACTATAAAAAAAATGTTGAGACTCTAGAAAAAGTGCAGAGAAGAGCAACAAAGATGATTAGGGGACTGGAAGCTAAAATATGAAGAATGGTTACAGGAACTGGGCATGGCTAGTCTAGTGAAGAGAAGGACCAGGGAAGACATGATATCAGTGTTCCAATATTTGAGGGGCTGTCATAGAGAAGAGGGGGTCAACCTATTTTTCAAGGCCAGAACAAGGCATAACGGATGGAAACTGATCAAGGAGAGATTCAACCTGGAAATCAGGAGAAATTTTCTGACAGTGAGAACAATCAACCAATGGAACAGACTGTCTTCAGATGTTGTTGGTGCTTCATCAATTGAGGCTTTCAAGAAGAGATTGGACTGCCATCTTTATCTGTGAGAATAGTTATCAGTTTTAATAGTTGTACCTGTTCCTCTGCCCAAGAAAGCAACTTGATGATATGCAGAAATTGATAGGTGCCAGATTCGATATGTACAGATTCTGTTCATCTGCTTATTTTAATTGACTGGCAACCAATAGCAACAGTAGGTTCTGAATCCTTCTGAAAACAGTCTCATTGGCCTATTTTTAAAATCTGGCCCTATAAATTCACTGTATCTTCTAAATTCAGTTAACTGACTTTTTTATTCCATTAAACTGATTAGTTATGTCATGGAAATAATTGGGTCCATATACATCAATACTGTTGTTTTGGGGCTATTTGTACCATCCCATCCCCATATTGTTTTAGACTAAATAACATTTTTTTTCAGTAAAAAGATTATTGTGATTTCCAAGAATCAAAAGATGTGAACTGTGTGGTATTAATAAGATAGCTGAAGACAAATGCTCAAATCAAATAAATATTCTACCTGATCAGGAACGATCGGATTATTAGTCCAAAGTCATTCAAGAGTGCCACAGTTTTTCCACTCTGATCTATTATGTCCAGTTAGGTTCCCAAAGAGATCTTCCCCTTGAGGTCCCTCAGTTCGCCTTTCCTGATAAGGGGAGATGTTCTTTTACGTGCTCTGGTGTGCAAGCTGAAATCCTTCTTCATGTTTCCTGCAGTCTTTCCCGTTCCCATCTATGTGAATTAAGAACCCCTGGAAATGTTTCTATCCAATTAGCCTTCTGCAGGGACTAAGCTTTCTACTCTGAACACCAGACTGCGGGTCTTTTGCATTTACTGTGTTACCCCGAAAGTAAGACCTACCCCAAAAATAAGATCTAGCTTGATTTTTGAGGGTCGGCCTAATATAAGCCCTACCCCCAAAATAAGCCCTAGTTTTAGGGCGAGGTGCAAGCCTAAAAATCAAGCTGGGGTAGGGGGCTGGAACCTACCATTGCAGCCAGGCCTCCCATGGATCAACACTTGCCTCGCCTCAGCCCACTTCTTCTGCAGCCGAAGGAGCAGCTTCATTCTGCAGCTGAGAATGGAGCTCCGGCCTGCATTTCGCTGTCAGAGGCCTTTCCGGAAGGCCTCCGCAGCTGAGAACTGAGCTATGGATTGATCCAGGTAGCCAGTGTGGCAGGAGCATGGTGGCTTGAGTGGTTGGGACACTGGGCAGGAGGTTAGCAAGCCCATGTTCAAGACCCGAGAGTTCCCGTGGGGCAGATTTGAGCTCTCGTCCTTCACTCCAGTGCCAGCTGGGCATCCCCTGGGCAATGGTGATGTCATTAGCTAATCCTTTCAACCTGGAAGTGCTTCACTGCTTCTGACAGGAGTACCCCCCCAAAAAAAGCCAGTATGGCTTCAAATTACTGTTCTCACCTTATGGATTTGTGACTTCCAGGGGGATAAGAGGTGGGAATTTAGTACCCCACAATTGGAAGATTGGCCTCTGAGCCAAATAAAGCATCACATCCTGGACATCACATCTTCACATCCTAAACTGTTGCAATTTTTCCCCACAAGATGCCACTACAGGATATTGCAGAGCTCCCCAACCTTTCCGACTTGGCAGCTCAGAAGGAAAGGGAGGAGCAGGGAAATGTGTGCGCACGGCAGTGGCACTAGTGCGCACGTGCAAGCGCAAGCGGCAGTGTGCATGCACAAATGGGCTGCTGGCACCTGCACGCATGCGCAAACAAGCCGCTGGCACCCACACACATGCGCAAATGGACTGCTAGCGCCCGCATGACGCTGGTGACAGTGCTAGCACCCCCGCGCATGCTCAA